TGTTGATGTTCCTGTTGTTCCTCCCGGGTAGGGTGGGGACATCTCCAAAGGAAATCACCTGCTTGCATGACTGTCTTCCCCCAGACTTTGGGAAGGGCAGCTTTGGAACCAAAATAGATGGTGTGAAGAGAAGATTGTGACTGTGAAGGGAAGGCCAGCCACGTCTGTGCTGAAGACCTGGCTGAAGGCGAGGACAGGCCGCCGCACGGCTGGCTGTGAGTGGAAAGGCCTGGTGCTCTGTCACTGGGCCCAGGAGCAACCCTGTGATCTCTAGTGAGAAGGACCTTTGGACAAAAGGGACATGACTGAAATTCGGGCAGCCGAGGGAACCCCAGGGGGATGGTACCCAACAGAGGAGCTGACAGTTCTCACGAGGCCAGATGCATGGGTGGGGGACACCGTGCACTGCACAGAGCGCCCTGCCAGCCGGGAGGGCTGCCTGCACGACACCAAAGGATTTGGGGGCTCTAAGCAAATGTGCATCAGGATGGCCAAGAAGCGCCGTTCTCTTCTGAAATCCAAATCCCAAAGCACCTGCTGGCCCAGCCCCCATGACTTACCAATGCTTGGTGACCATATGAACCAACTGATGTCTTTGCTTGAAAAACAGCGTCTGAGCGACCAAGGCGGCAGCGGGAGTGTGGGTGCACGCAGAGAGCGAGAGCAAAGCATGCCGGGTCCCGAGCTGGGAAGACACAGGAAGCAGCGAACTTCTGTGCTAACTTCTGTGGGCAGAAGTCCCAGAGGCGCCCGCAGGTCTCCGTGGCTGCAGCAGGGGCCTGTCCAGCACCCTGCAGGCACGTGCAGGAGGGCGGTTCCTGTCCTTCCACGAGTCTGCCTGGCTGTCCACTCAGACCATGTGTAACAGAAATGGCCTTGGCTCTGAAGTCAGACCATCTGGTCACTCTCAGCCCAGCCGCTCCTTGCTGCTCTGAGGAATGGGGGTGATGGTTCCCACGCAACGCCAAACTGTTGGCCCACAGGCTCCCACGGGCCACCCTTGGCTGCCCGCGGGAGACACGGCATCCACTCCTCTCTCCATGGGAGTTGTCCTCAGAGGAGTCCATACAGCTGACCGGGGCCCAGGACCCATTCTCGCTGGTCCCCCAGGAGGCAGCTTAGGTGGAGGGAGCGAGGTTCACCCAGGCAGGTATGGACATGGCACTGCTTCCGAGCCCCCGGTCCCTGGTTAGGGTTTCCCATAACATCCCCAGGCGTAGCTTCTAGGTCCCTCCTAGGGACAGGCTTGCTTACAAGGGCCTTTGTGCCCAGGGAGCCTCTGCACTGTGGCAGCCACCAGACAGACTCTCGCACGTCACCCACAGCCGCTGTGCCCAGGGAGGAGCATTGGTCAGGGCTTTTGCTGCAGCCGTTGCCTGGCAATGTGTGTGTGGTTCCCGGGGGAGCGGAGCTGCTCGTCCCGGGAACACAAGGTCCCTTCCTCGTGCAGGAAGGAGAAGGGTGGCTCACAGACCCACTGGGAGGACTGAGCAGAGGGCCATGGAAGGCTCCTGGCACAGAGGCGCCCTTGGTGCAGCCTACACACGTGGCCTTCTGCCTCTCACCTCAATCCTCCGTGGGCCAGAGGCAGCCAGGGACGAGCTGGGGCAGCGGAGTCGAAGCCTCGGAGCTGTGCCCCGTCACCGCCGTCGTGGCAGTCTCGTGGAGGCCGGGAGCGAGGCTGGGCCAGGAGACCAGCTGCACGTGGACAAGCCGTGCTGGTTGCCCGGGAAGTCAGTCCCCGTGGCTGCAAGGCTTTTGTCACTGGGTCCCGCTTCACTCTGGGTCTCCGGCTGGTCACAAATGTGCTTTTGCTCCAGCGACATGCTGAACTAAACTGGGTGAAGGGACAGGTGCTCTGAGCTGATGCGATTAAAGTTAGCTCAAGCTAAAGGTCCGAGGTGCCCCCGAGTTTGCACATAGTGCTGGGCCCCGGGGGAGACACGTGTTCAGGGACCGTGGCTCACCCCTACTGGTTGCCCACCTGCTTCAGCTCTGGCGTCACTGTCCTTTCAAGCGAATTCCCCATCCTCCTCCCCTACTCCCTCTACCTCTTCTGCCTCCCGCCCCACCCCCACCTGCTGCTTGTCCCTCCTCTGCCGTAACCAATCCCATAACCAATATGTAACCATAGGAACCCTGCCCGGCACCCCCAGTGCAAATCATGGCCTGTTTAATTTTTGTTTGTCTTCTGACATTTAACCAGAACCTGATAGGGGCCAGCCAATGTGGGGTCCTTGTCCTCTCTTGGGTTATCTGAACTCTTGGGGCCTTCTGTAGACCCAAAACCATTCCCCCCCCCGCCTTGTCTGGCTCTGCAGTAGGGTGGAGCCCAGGTCTTCAGATGGCTGGGCCTCCCTGTCCCTCTGCCCACCTCTCTGGGGCTGCTGTTCCAGCTGAGATGGGGACTCCTGTGTCCTTCCTGTGGCCACCCTCAGACTGGGGAACCTTCCCAAGCCTCCTGAGGGGCCAGGGCCCCATCCTTACAGCCACCCACAGGGGTCGATATGTTACAGGCAGGCCACGTTCCCTTCTGTCTCCACCTTGTTCTTCCCCCAGGAGTTTCCATCACTTATCCAGAAAGAGCCTGAAGACACTTCCCCAGGGGAGGCCCTGCCATTCCCCTGCCCTTAGGGGAGGGGGAGGATGCACCCTCCCACAGGGCTGCTCCCCCCAGAAAGGGCTAGAGCCCCTGCTTCCTCCTTGGGAGGCCTCAGGATGATTTTCAGTCTGCCACTCTGCTGCCTTCACTGTCATGGATCCTCGTGGCACAGGTCCAGGCCCTGGGAGCTCAGAGGAGCCTCCACAGCTGGGCGGGGAGCTGCTGCCAGTCTCGTTTTGCAAGGGGCTGAGTCACTTGCCTAGGATCACACAGCAGGTAAGTGGCGGGGCTGGACCAGCCCAGGCAGCTGACCGCAGGGTCTGGGGGCGGCACAGCTTCGCCTCTGCCCACCAGCAGCAGCAGCTCGCTGCATGTGTGCCGGCCACCCACTGAACAATCTGCACAGATTGACTCGTTCGCTCCTCAGCAGCTCTTGACTTACGCACTATTTTTGCCCCTTTTTATGAGAGCTTAGGTGTGTTTTTCCAGGATCACACCTGGGAAGTGATGGAGACAGGATGAACCCAGGTAGGCAGCCCCAGCTCTCGGGGTCTGAGTTGCTCTGCGGCACCCCTCCAGGCCAGCGTGCACCCCACCCCCGCCTCCAACTGCCCCCGTCCACTGCAACCCCTTGTGGCCACCCAGACATCGGCCATTGTCAGGGAAATATGATTAAAGACAAAAGCTTGTCCCAGCTCAGAAAACCTTTCCACAAAGGTAGAAAAGAAGGAAAATATTGGGTTACTGAATCAGCATTAAACCAGGATGCGACCCCTGCGAGCTCGTGTAGACAGAAAGCTCACCCTTTTATGTGGCCGGGCACAGCCACACACGTTCTCAGGATGAACAGTCACCACGGGTACAACGGCTTCTCCTGAGTTCACCTGGTGATTGGGGTGACCTGTGTCCATTCCTTTTACCCAGAGGGAAAAATGAGCCTCTTACCTTCATGACAGGAGGAGCCAGGTGCCCACCAAAGTAGGCACCGTCCCTCCCACAGGACGACAGGGGCGCTATCTTCCTTGGATGTTGTATTCCAAAGAGATGGTTCGAAGGTCCTTTAGAAAGACATTCTTGGGTCGTAAAGCTGACAAAAGGCTTAGTATGCTTGAAAGAGGATTTACATATATTTCAGATTCAAAGAAGAAACTCACAAGTTTTCTGAAGTAAATACTGTAAGAAAAGAGAGGGGAGAAGTCTCTTCCCTTATTTTTAACAGGGGAATTAAGCCTCTTATTTTCGATTTTTTCTTTGCCCTGACACCTCTCTGCAGCAGGCCTGGCCTGTTGCCACCGCCTCCTCCTGCATGTGAGCTGCCTCCATCCCGCCCCTGCAAACCCCAGAGTGCTCGATCCTCAAATTACAGTGGCCCAGGAACCTCCCAGTCCCCCGTGCCCACGGAGAGAAGCAGAGTCCTTGAGCGTCTGCGTGGATGTGGCCCCAAGCCCCTCTGTCCTTTCCCTCACTTCCCCCTTCTGTGTGCCCGCTGGGCCAGCCAAGCCCAGACCAACCCATTCCCTCCACCTGTCCTGCCGTGCTGCGTAAGGCAGCTGCCTGAGGAGCCCTCCACCGGGGGTCTCCTACCCACCTCTTCCTGCTGCAATTCTCATCCCTCCTAAGATCTCATCAGCCCTAGGCTTCCTCTCCCACCTCTGGGTTCCCAGAGGATGTGTTTTCTCCTGCCCTGGTGCCTTGTTGCAGCCACACCTGTTGCATCTCCTGTGCTAGAACACACACTCTCCAATTTTGGAGTCAGATCTGGATTTCAATCCTAACTGTCACTTTCTGTTCCACCTGTGGGGCTGGGCAAGCTCCTCCACCCTCCAGAGCCTCCATCTGCCCATCTGTAAAGTGATCATGTGAATGCCCACCTCATAGGGTCACCGGGAGAGTTGGACCAGGTAAGGCACGAGAGGCCCCAGCTTGGCTGGCACTGGGGCGTGTTAATTTTCCACCCCTTCCTCCAGCAAGCCCTAACTACGTGCTGCGCCCAGAGAGGAGGTGTGGAACCTCACTTGTTACTGCGGAAAAACTTGAGCTCCATTTACTACTGAGAATGTATAACACTCTGATGGTCCTGCCTGGAGATCTTGTTTTTCCTCTTTGTACACGTTATTAAGCATTTAATTCCAGGTGATTTTTCTGCGACTTTTGCTTGCCTTGGGTGAGTTCTGGCATGCTGTCTTGTAAAACGAGAGGCTTTCATGCATATTGTATGACGTTTGTGTGAACAAAACCCATGTCACCCACTCATGAATAATACAACTGTTCTTGCCCTCCCCAAAGGATATTTTCCTGAACGATCCGAAGGCACAGCCACCACCTCGGAATCTCCAGGAAGTCAGTGTTGCAAATTCACTTAACTTTATTAAGTCTTGCTCTATGAAATATTTACGAGATGGAGCCAATAGCTAAGGGAAGGACAGAAAAAAACTTCAGCTATGTCATCAGAGCGCCCAGCAGCGACGGGTTTGATACAATGAACCTTGACGTGAAGGTTGACACGTCCTGGGTGTTCCGGGACGTGGAAGACAGCAGCGAGGAGCCAGGATGTGTTCCGGAAGCATCAGCCAGTAGCACAGACGTGGACACAGGGACACTCAGGAAGCAGCTGCAATCCTCCAAGCAGAAGCGGCTGGCAGTGGTGGACAAGTATGTGACATCAGAATCCGCGCTGAGGAACAGGTAGTTGTGCCGTTTTGATCTCTTTGTGTGTATTTAGCAAATCCTGGGGCATCATAATTGTGTTATCATGATGTGTTGACTTGTGTCTGCAGCCGAGGAAACAGGCTCCCCAAGGCACGTAGCTGCTGAGGGCAGTCATTTGTGCTCAGTCCCTCCTGTCTTTTCCATCCTCTGCTCCCTGGCTTCCCTCTGGACACAGCCAGTGGGAGACCCCAGAAGGCAGGAGGAAGGGAGAAGCCAGGATCTTTCCCTTCACTTCCGCTCTGGGTGTTGTCATCTCCAGCTGTGGCTGTAACTCAGACACGCTCTCTGCTTCCTCTGTGGTCCCAGCTCCTGCGGGGGGGCCTGGCTCCCCTTCCCTGGTGACACCATCTCCACCCCCAGGGCCAGAAGTGGCTCCCGGCAGTTGCTAGTTTGGGCTGCCTGTCACCTCTGCCTGGCCTTGTGGCTCTTCCACCATCTTTGTAATACTTTCTCTGCATTTGTTTCTCTCTGCTGAATTCCCTGGCCTGGGCTCTGTTTTCCTGACAGAGGTGATATGGTCCCTAGATGGGACATTTGAGTCCAGATATTTCTCCAAAGCCTGCGGTCTTTCCTGATGATTTATTGACACCTAGGCTGGCAGAATGAGGTGGGGCCTTTCATATATATCAGAGGAGAAACCCATCATGGTTATGGCTGGGATCGATTCTAATGGGCTTGCTAATATCCCAGCAACCAAGTGCCTTGGATTTTTGTGGGACTTCCCCGTTTTCCTCCATTTGCCTTCATTTCAATAAAGACAAGTCGTTAAAGGTGTGTGTACATGTGATTTACCGTTTTCCCTTTTGGTAAAACTTTTCACATGAAGTCATTCACAAATCAGAAAAATTCTTTTGTTATCCTATGTGATTACTCATTCATACATTTGTTCATTCATCCTGCAGCCTGCATTACTCCCAAGAGTCAGGCGCTAAGTCGTGTTAGTGTGCTTGGGCGGCCATGTCGAAGGCAGTCAGGCCTCACTGAATGTCGTCGATCTCTTTCTTGGTAACTGCGATTGTAAGTGAACGTGTAATGAAACCAGTTTGCCATTGGCCGATTGACATACATGAGAGCTGAGTGCCTGCAGTGTATTTGATCACAAAACATCACCAAATTTCTAAATAAAGACCCCAAACACTTCTAATATTAAACACTGAAATAAATGTGAGCTATGCATCCATTTAAGAAAGGATAATAAAAATGAGTAAGATAATAACTTACCCAACTATTCCAGTTCGGGGGGTGGGCAGCAGGGCCCTTCCCCGCAGCTGAACGCTCAGGGCAGGAACCAGCATGGACAGGGCGTCATCCCATCGCAGGGCGCACTCACAGCCAGCCCCGCCTCACTCGGATGGACCACGTAGACATGCGATTCGCTAAACCCTCGGAGCTTTGGGATGTGGGAGGAAAGCCCTGCAGACGTGGGGAGGGCGTGCCAACTCCACACAGACAGTGGCCCCGGCTGGGGATCGATTTTTATTCTCATCAATGTGATAGCGAAATGATGTGAGCAGAGCGGTGTTATTCGAGGCCTGCCGCACTGCACACTGGGTGACTCAGCAGAAACTTATTTCCTTACATTTCTGGAGCCCAAAATTCCGCGAGCAAAGTGTTGGCAGGGTTAATTTCTTCTGAGGCCTCTCTCCTGGGCTTGCAGACAGCTGCCTTCTCCCTGGTCCTCACACGGTTGTCCCTCTGTGGTGTCTGTGTCCTGATCTCTTCTTATAAGGACACCGGTCGCATTGGATTCGGGCCCACTCTAATGATTTTCTTTCAACTTAATTACCCCATTGACGGTCTTATCTCCAAATACAGTCATGTTCTGGGGTACTGGAGGTTAGTGCTTCAATATGTGAATTTTGGGGAGGATATATTCAGCCCATAGTGTTAGTCCCGGGGGTTGAGAGCCGGGGAAGGCAGGCCCCGGCCCTGAGACACTAGCGGTGTAGCCACACAAGGCTGTACGTTCAAATCTCCCTCCAGAGAGACTGGCAGCGAAAACCAGAAGGTCAGTGGGCCTGGGGCACCACGCCTGCTGGAGACAAGGGGCCAGGTAGCCAGGGCCTGGGGAATGTGGTTGGTGCCCTCTGTTCTCTTTGATGACGGGGTGTATCATCTTGCAGGAGAGGGGCGGGGGTGAAGGAGAAAAGGCTGCCATGCCAGTCCCATCCTGGCCCCCTTGAGCCCCAGATGCATAGAGCGATGTTATCTCCTTTTACAGATGAGGAAACTGAGGCTGAGAGGCTGAAATACATTTTCCAGGGTCATTAAGAGCTGAAGCCAGCATCTGGGTGTGCAATTCTGAATGTAGATTTCAGGCTGGCTAGGGTATGGTAAAAGCTAAGGAAGAGTATGCATTAGATTTGCTTCAATTAAAGAGTTAAAATATAAAAGCATTTGTTATAAAAATAACGTAACAGCTTTGCTAAAAATTTGAGAAAGAAAACCCCACTCTCATCTGCATCATAACACTATGATGTTGCACATTCATTTCCAATCTAAATGCAACAAAATTAATAATAGCTGAGCACTTACTGAGTGCTTGGTCAGTACCAAGCCACCGTTTACATGCTTGAAAAGTATTAACACAGTTAATCCTTAAAACAATACTGGAAATGGGTAATGGTATTATCCTCATTGTATAGATGCGGAAATCAAGGCACTGGGTGGTTCAGTAACTTCCCCGAGACCCCACACAGGATCTGTCAAGGCCCAGAGGGTCTCTGCAGCCGTGGCGGCTCACGCGTCCCGCTGCCGCGGTGGCGTCTCCTGGTTTCATAGCACTCTTCGCAGCACTGGATGTGGATATTTCTACAAACTTGTCCTTAGCTTCATCAGCGAAAAACGGCCCTTCATTGCCTTATTTCGTGTTTGGGGGTGTCTTAGTTTCCTGTGGCTGCTGTGACAAGTTACCACAAACTTGGTGGCTTAAACAACACAAATTGATTGTCTTAAAGTTCTGGAGGCCAGAGGTCAGAAATCAGTCTCGCTGGGCTGAAGTCAAGGTGCCAGTGGGACCGAGCTCTCCAGAGATCACAGGGGAGTCCCTGTCCTTGCCTGTTGTGTCACAGAGCTGCGTTCCTTGGCTCCTGGGGCCTTCCTCTCTCCTTGGAGCCAACAGTGCAGCATCCTGCTTCGGGGGTCACATGGCCTTCTCTAGAGTCCAGTCCCTCTGCCCCTCCTCATCAGGATGATGTGGTTGCGTTAGGACCCCTGGGTAGCCCAGGGTCACCTCCCCGTCTCAAGGTCCTCAACAGAGCCACCTCTGCAGTCTCTTTCGCATTTCAGGGTGACATCCATAGTTTCCAGGGATATATCCAGGACCTCATATATTAGGGGGCCACAATTCAGCCTGCCAAGGTGAGCTTAGTCATTTTCTGCTTAGTTTACGATTAGAAATAGTATCAGAATTAAATGCTGTCTCATATTTAATGTTGCAGTGCAATCTGAAAAGCTAAAGAGAAAGGCTTTTCTTCTTCATTTCGTATCTTGTCACATTTCACCACCCATCAGGAAGTGCTCAGTCTGACTCTGACCCGTTCACCCGGGGCTGCCTCTCTGGTCCAGTTTGGAAGGACCTTGATTGTGATCCACACACGAGTTCACGCTCCCTTCTGTCACTCTCGAGACCTTCCCTCACGGCCTGAGAACCGGAACAGGAGAGGGGACTCTGGGCCTTGTTGTTAACAATAATGCATCATTTAGCTTAACCTTCGCGGCAAGCTGCTGAGCAGGGGGCAGTGGCCTGGCTTTACAGACAGACACTGAAGATGACTGTGGTGGACCAGCCCAGTCAAGGCCCCATGGCTGGTGGATGGCAGAGCCAGGAGGCAACGCTAGGTCTTCACCCAGGGGAGCAGAGCCTGCGCTGTGTGAGCAGATCCCCCGGCAGGGACTTGGGGAAAGGAGCAAGGATCATGCAGAGCTTGTCCACGGAGGCTGTGAACACGCTATTCACGGGCATCACGGTTTTCTACTGGAGAGGCAAGCTTAGCACACAGGGGACTTGCAGCCCAGACACGAGCAGCAGACAGGCACATTCTTGCGGTGCCTCCTCCCCCAGTGGGACCAGAAGCCCAGCCTTTCCCTTTGGACTTTCAGCCGCCATCCTGCACGTATCCTTCCTGCAGAGCTGCGAGCAGAGTCCACCGTCAGTCTGGGGAGTGCTTTTGCTTGTGATGCAATCTCAATGTTTCCCCAGGGCCACACAACTCTTCCTGTGGCTTGGCCATTGCTAACTATTAGATAGTTAAGTCACTTCCAACTTCTCCCTTGGAAGAGTAAATAATACAAAGATTGATTTTTTAAATTGCAGAAACCTTTTTGTAAAATTTCAATCATTTCCTTGGAAGAGATTCATATGAAAGTAGCTAAAATGGGAGACAACAGAGCATAGGGTTAACAGTGTGATTTTAGGAGTCAGACAGGCTGGACTCTATACGGCTGCGTGACTTTGGGCAAATTGTCTTCCCTCTCTGATCCTCAGTTTCCCTTGTGTGTGATGCAGGGGTAGCAGAATCCATTTGAAGCCTGGCAATGTTGTGAAGATTAATTAAAACCAGGCAGTTGGCGCTCTCAGCCTAAATGGCTCAAGGCTCGGTCACTCTTAGTTGGTGTTACTCAAATGTGGGAGTACTGGCTTAGGGGTGAGAACACCCTCAAGATCGCTGATACATGGTATCTTATTATTCACATGCTATATTTGAAGTATTGTAGATAATCTCTAAAACTATATGTATGAATGTCGTACAAAATGTAATTTTGTCAGCACGTCAAATTGACCAAATGACAAAAAAAAAAAAGAAAAAAAAAGTTGGCCCCGGTGTCCGCGAAAGCCTCAGGCTGTGCTTACTGCATCCTGAGCGAGCCTCTCCCTCTTCCCGAGCTGCAGAATCCAGGAGCTGGAGCTGTCGGAGAAGAAACTCCTCAGGAAGGTGGATCAGCTGAGCGCCCGCGCGGCCCAGGAGAGAAGCGCCTGGCTCCGGGCCCAGGAGAAGCTGGCGGCGCTGCAGGGGGAGCTGGCCAGTCGGGTACCGTTCCCTTCTTCTTTCCGGTGCCTGTTTCCTGTCCCAGCAACGCCGCGGGAACAGGCAGCAGCTGCGGTTGAGCAGACAGTTGGGAGGGCCTGGAGAGAAGGAGTTAGAGGGATCCCAATTCTATGGTGCACGTGGTGGCTGCGGGGCCTGCAGTTGCGGGGGATGCATGGGACGACTGCATCTGCTGACCTGTGGGGGCTGCGCACGCGCTGGGGGCTCTGGTCAGAGGTTCGTTTCCACAGCCTTTGTGCCTGAGGTCCCCAGGACCAGACCATCTCCTGAGGGCAGGAGACGGCTGATGCAGGGTCACTGTCCGGCAGGTGGGATACACCGATGGGAAACAAATGACTCTAGAGCCGGAATGGGTGCCATGCGAGTGGTGCAGGCACATTGTGTGTGTGTGTGTGTGTGTGTGTGTGTGTGTGTGTGTGTGGTGGGGAGCACGAGGGTTGAGGAAAGCTACAGAGAACTGGGGCTATGTGAGTTGGGCCGTGTTGGGAAGGGCACACGAGGCATGGTAACAGCGTGGGGAGAGGCCCGGAAGTGAGGGAGAACGACCAGGACCGGGTAGAGGATGTGTGCAGGGGATGGGAGGGAGGGAGGCGGAAGGGTTCCAGAGGGGTCAGGCTGCCATGTCCTCTGTGGCGACCAAATTCTGAAGGCAGTGAGGAGCAGCGGACTTAAGCAGGGAAGGCTCAGGCTGGGATGGTCATTTTGGGGATGCCATCCTCACTGTGTGGGGGAGAGGTTCTGGTGGAGGGGAACATTGGAGACCTCCTTGGGGAAGCCGTGGGCTCTGGAGGCAGATAGATGCCTGGAACTAAACCCTGGTTATGACACTCACGAGCTGTGTGACCTTGTGCAGGTGATATAACCTCTCTGGGCCTCAGTTTCTTATCTGTGAAATGGGAATAATATAGTACCAACCGTCTCAGATTGTTGTGTGGGTTAAGTGTGAGTTAATACATGTAAAACACCTCCAACAGTAGGTATTTAAATAATGCTATCTGCCTTTATGATTATTAGCCATGATTGAAATTTTCCAGGTGAGAGATGAGGAGGGATACAGGGGAGGCCATTCTTACGAAAGACAGCAGAGGCAGAAACGACAAGACTTCAGGGCAGCTGCATGTGGTGTCCAAAGATCCGCCTGAGGAATCCTGTTGTAGTCAGTTGCTGTTTAGACTGTAGCCCAGGCATTTTCAAATCGCAGGTTGCAACCCATCGCTGGGATGTGAAATCAATTCAGTGGGTCACAACCAGCATTTTAAAAAAATGAAATAGTCTGGGAAATATGAAAAGGCATCGTGTGTGCTAAGGGGAGTGCTGTTTAATGAAAGGTTTGTTTCCACTGTACACGGCGGTGTGTGTAGGACGGGGCGATGTTCCCATGTGTTTCTTACAGTGGGATGCACACTGGCACAGCTATTAACTGCAAGAGCAGTGCAGGGCGGAAAGATTAGTTGTCCAGTTAAATTGAAATTAGTATTTGAGATGCCGGAGAGACATCCAAGTGGAGGTTTCTCCCCTTTATACTGGACTTCAGGTGCAGAAAGTCGACGAGATTCCCCTCCTCGGTTCATAGCACCGCCTCATTGCTATGCCGAGGGGAGTGCTTAACATCCAGCGCCGCTGGGCTGTGTGGAACTCCAGCCTGGAGATGGGATGTCTCAGTAGAAAATGCTGTCATAATATTCTTTGAGCCATGCCCTACGTGCATGTGAATCAGACACAGCCCTGCAAAGGACAGGTTCATAGTGCGATGGGGAACAGAGGACGAGGGGACAGCAAGTGAAGTGTGGTGAGGGAGGCGGGAAGCGCTGCAGGGACCGGCAGTTTCTGCAGGACACCGAGCCCTTTCCCACCCGCGTCTTTTTGTTCATTGCCGGCTTGTGTGGTGCGTGTGCTCCAGGAAAATGCCTGTCATGAAACTTCATTGCCAGAGGAGGAGCGAGTTCAGAGTGATGAGGGGGCTCGCCCGGACCTCTTGGTCATCACTCTGTCTGGCTACCAGCCAGCCTCCAGCCCCTAACACAAAATCTCTTGCCAGAGGCATCTGCATTTTGAAGTAGTACGTGAATGAGTTTTCTGTGCTCTCGGTAGCTGAGCTCTGTTGTCATATGTCCGGTAAGCATTTATATACAAAGATGCTCATTTCTGTAGTGACCAGTGTCATTGTGAAAGCTGTCGAAGGCAGACCCATCCAGGTGATGGAGCCCCATCCACTGAGCACCGTGCAGCACTGATCACAGAATTTGCACCATCGGGAAAACCAGGAGACTTTTCCTCCCAGGGACTCTGACTCCAGCTTTTGTCTACCCCAACACGCCCCGAGACAAACTATTCAAACAAAGCTTGTCTGAGCTATTCCCAAGTTTCTGCTTTCACATTTGCTCTTTGCTTGTTTGCTTTTGTTTTCTTCAAGTGTTCTGGCAGAGTGGCAGCAGCAGGCACTAGCAGTCAAAAGAAAGCTTCACATGGAGGCAGGTCCACCTGTTTGCTTGAGTTCATTCCAAAAATTAGGCAAAGACTCTAATTTTCGAAGTGGGTGGTGCATCCCAGTCCAGTGCATCCCGGTCCACTTCAGTAGCACATGGGTGGGGAGGAGGAAAGCTTAAAAGCAGGGAGACGTGTTCTCTGGTCAGGCAGGTTGGCCAGGTGAGGAAAGAAAAGGCCTGAGTCAGATGCAAGGGGACGGGAGTGCTGGCTGCAGGGAACTTTAGCCGTGTGCTGTGCAATTGCTCCTGAGTACCCCCAGGGGCTGTAGCAGTACCTGTCTCCAAGGGGGAGTATCCACAATAATGATAGCCGCTGCGGTACTGGTGTCCTGGTGCACCAGCCAGAGCTGGGGACCTTCCTTGGGCCAGTCGTTGATCTTTTAGGTGCTGGGAAATGGGGAGCTCTGCGTAGTGCTGGGATGGAGGTGGGGACACTCAGGAGGCTCCGGCAGCAGCTGTTTACACACTGGTGTGGCCGTATTCAGCACTGGGACAGCTCCAGTGGCAGTTGGGGTGTGTTACGGCTGAGGGGCGTCCTGCTGGCTGCACGGCACCCGTGCAAGGACTCAGGGAGCACCTGTGTGTGCAGGGCCCTGCCTAGGGTGAAATGAAGGAGGCACTCGCCTCCTGTGCAAAGTTTAAGGGGCACCAAAAACTCTGTCATGGAGATAAATAATATTTCGATGCAATATTTTAATGCAAAAACAATTATACAAAAAATACGCCAAGCACAAAGTATGGAAATGTTAAGGAAAGACAGGATCAATGTGAGCGACCCTGTGTCCTTTGGGCTTCCTGACGCCCTCATCCACCGTGAACTTGTAGGTGCGGGAGAAGGAGAGCGTGGCCCGGAGGCAGCTGCTGCGGCTGCGGGAGCAGCTGCGGCGCAAGGACGAGGCGCTGGGGCGGCAGGCGGTGGCCCTGGAGCGCTGCCAGCGGGTCCAGCGGCGCCAGCTGGGCCTGGTGCGCGAGCAGGAGTGCGTCCTGCGGGCGCAGGTGCGGCGGCTGGAGCGTGACGTGCAGCGCCTATGCCGCGCCGCCGGCCTCCTGCTGGCCCGGCTGCACTCCGCGGGCCCAGGTCCCCAGGGCGCCGAGGCCGCTGCAGAGCTGTGCGCCCTGCAGGCGAGGGCCGAGCGCGAGCGGGAGGAGGCGGCGCGCCGGCTGCGGGAGCAGAGAGCCAGCGAGTGCTGGCTCCGCTGGCAGCTGGAGGAGCTGCGCTGCTGCGTGTATGGGCTGACGCTGTCGGAGATCGGCCTGCTTGGGCAGGTGGAGGACCTCGCCGAGCAGAACCGCACCCTGCGACAGGAGCTGGGAGCCCGGGCGCCTGCTGGTCACTGCAGCCTGGTAAGTGGCCGGAGCCCAGGGCAGGAGTAACCTTTTGTTTTCTTTCTCCTGTAGCCACTTGGTCAAGTCATTGACTCATCTGTTCCTCGTCTTCTCTCCATACACCCATCTCAGCCAGCCCGATCCATCCTTCATTCCACCCATTCTCCTACCCACCCCTCCACCCGTCCAGCCTCACCACCCATTCCTGCAACACGGGATCTCACTGGCCATCTGCCCATGCACTCGTCTCCCACTACCCGTGTGTCCACTCACCCATCCATCCACCAATGCACTCACTCGTCCACCACCCACCACCCAGCTTGTCCACCCACCAACCACTTGTCCACCCACCCGCTGTCGTCTTCCTGTTCGTCCTGACATCTGCTTGTCCACCCAGCACCTATTAGCCCCCTTACCGAACCACTTGTTTACCTATTATTGAAGTCTATTCCGGCTGTTACAACAGAATACCATAGACTGGGTGGCTTATAAACAACAGAAAGTTATTTCTCATAGTTTTGGAGGCTGGAAGTCCCAGATTGAGGCACTGGCAGATTTGGGGTCCACTTCCTGGTACTTTCTCACTCTGTCTCACGTGGTGGAAGGGTGAGGGAGCTCTCTGGGGTCTCTTTTATAAGGGCACTAATCCTATCCATGAGGGATTCACCCTCATGACCTTATCATCTCCCAAAGGCCCCATCTCCTTACACCCTCCTGTTGGGGATTAGGATTTTGACATATTAGGAGGGGGGACACAGACATTCGGACTCTCGCACCCACCCACCCACTTGTCTACCCACGTTCCATCATCTTCTCATTCGCCCCACCATCTGTTTGTCCATCTGTCTCCCAATAAACCACTTGCAGGCAGCCAACCAGCCACCCCATATCCCTCGGCATCTGTCCCCTCCTGTCCCTCCATCTGTCCAACATCCAGTGAGTCCCTGCTGCGCGCCAGGCCCTGTGCGGTGTCACGGGACTCTCATGTGCTTGGGAAATCTCTTCTGGCCCACCGCCTCCCTGCCCAAAGCAATCGCCCCTTCTTCTTCCCTCACAGCCCCAAAGGCGATGGCAGTTCCCTCGTGAAAGTTCCGTATGTGCATCTTCAGTTCTCTTTCTTTAGACTGTGAGCCCCTGGGGGCAGGATCCAGGCCTGACTGGTCTTTACAGCTTTAGTCCCCGTAGCAGCACGCGGGAGGCCCCAGGACTTTGGAGTAGAGAGCACATGGGGTAGGGTCCCTTTCTGGTTTGCATATTTACTAGCTACGTGACGCCGGGCAAGTTTCTTGAACTCTGGAGGGCAGGGTGGACGTCATTTGACTGATGGAAGAGTAAAAACATTTAATGCATTCCTGCCATGTGTGTGGCCCCCTCCTGGGTGTTTCAAAGACACTTCGTTTAATGCTCATGAAGACCGTGAGGCAGGTACTGCTGGTCTCATTCCACAGACGAGGATGCTGAGGCTCAGAGGGCAGCCTCTATTGTCACACATCTGTTGTCACACAGCTAGTAAGGGACGAAAGTGGAATTTGACCCAAATGTGATGTGAGTCCGAAGCTCACTGTTTCTGCTGCACCAAACTGCCTCCCCGAAAAGAGCCCTGCTTCTCCCCTGGGGTCAAGCTGAGTTTCGGGAGAAATGAGTGAGCGACCCTAGCCCAAAGAGGAGTGCTCATTTTTAAAAAATCAAATTTATCCTCAAACTTGAACAATCTATTTCAAGTTACCTGGGACTTTAAACGCTCTACATTATCTCGGGGTAATACCTGTCTTGCCCAGGTTATTTAGCTAATGGCTTTATCTGTGGTCTCAGTTTACCCGTATGCCACTCTATCCTCCCATTGTCACTCTCATGCGTTTCCTGTTCGTTCTTCCTCCCTTATGTTCATCAGATAAAAGGAAAACAAAGTGTACCTTTAATATTGGCACCTTGTAATTTTGGAAAATAAATTGTGCATAGATGGAAATTGTCATTTAAAATTCTCTTCCACAACTTTTCTAAACAAAAGCCTTTAATTTAGGCTGTTGGTCTCTCCATCTGTCCCATATACCCCCAGCCAGCTCTGCCCTCGTGTTGGGAACGTCGTCTCTCATCAGCTGAGTAGCAGAGAGAGTGGAGCTGCCATGTAGGAGCACACAGGGCTAAAACGCGATCCTGCAACGCGGGAGCCGTGCGTCGCGGGGCGAGCTGCTCACGCCCAGAGATGCAGGTGGAGGACTCCAGCTCTGCCTCCCACCTTGGGCAGATTCCTAAACTTTCTGCGCCCCAGTGTTCCAAAGTGTGAAATGGGACTAATGCTGGGATGACACTAATAATATTTCTTCCCAGCATGGCTATGAGGATGAAATAAGAAAGTACAGGGAAAGGTCTGAGCATGGTGCTTGGTACGTAGTGAGGGATCCGTCAAATCCAGCTTCACTCTCCGTCACCATCACCACGGCCACCAGCAGCAGCAGCATCACCACCGTCATCCACCCAACCATCCCTTTTGGTGCTTATCCTCACATGGCAGGATGCTGGGGAGAGTCACCCACACTACTGGACATTGTAGGTTTCTCTCTCTTGGCTTTTTATGTGTTTTTGCCAAGGGCTTGTCCTGGATTGGAGTAGGTTAAGTGGGAGTGTGATTTGTCTCCGTGGGTCCTCTGGAATGGCTGCTGGAAGCACAGCTGGCAGGGACCTGGGGTGGACAGGGCCTGTGGTCACCAGCTCCCACGTCCCCGTGGCCTGTGGATGGGCTATGGAGGGGCTGAGAGAACCGCAGTGGCCTTCTGGGAAGGGCCACCCAGAGCAGGTCATTTCACTTCTTTTAGCCATAATTTCCTGATAGGCAGATCAGCACGTGAGTACTACATTGCTAAAGCTGCTGTAACCCAGTACCGCAAGCTGGGTGCCTGAGACAACTGAGATGTCTCCTCTTCTGGCTCTGGAGGCTGGGAAATCCTAGATCAAGGCGTGGGCAGGGCTGGTGCCTCTTGAGCGCTGGGAGGGGGACTCTGTCCCAGGCCCACCTCCTCAGCTTGTGGGTGGCCTTCTTCACATCACCTTCCCTCTGCAGCTGTCTGTGTCCAAGTTTCCCCTTGTTGTAAGAACACCAGCATGTTTGATCAGGGCCCCACCCTACCCCAGTGTGACCCCATCTTGACTGAGTACCTCTGTAAGGACCCTATTTCCAAATAAGGTCACATTCTGTGGACCTGGGGATCAGGATTTCAACATGTGACTTTCAGGGGATGAAATTCAATTCATGACAAGTGTCCCTCTGGATGAACTTGTTCTGAGGACCCACAAGATGACAAAGCTCTGTGGGTTCCAGATCCCTGATGGCAGGGAACGTGTGCTACTTCTGGAGCTTTGCATGGGCAGATATAAACAGTCCCTAATGTGTACCGAAGCACCTTTTTGTGCTGTTGACCTTATCCTCATTTTACAGAGGAGGAAGTGGAGGCACCTACTGGTCCATGACCTGCTCAGGGTCATGCAGATGTTAAGTGGCGTGTCTTAGTCTGTTTAGGCTGCTATAGCACGTGGCTGCAGACTGAGTGGCTTAAACAACAAACCCATTTATTTCTCGCAGTTCTAGGGGCTGGGAAGGCTCTGAGATTGAGGCACCTGCGGACGTAGTGTCTGGCGACGACCCACTTCCCGGCGCGGTGCAGAGAGCAGAGAGGAAGCAGGCTCTCTCCAGGCGCTTCCGAGGGTCCACCTCGTGGCCTGATCATGCCCCAAAGGCCTCACCTCCTAATATTGTCCCTTTGGGGATTTGGGTTTCAACAGATGGATTTTGGGGGACACAGACATCAGACTGTAATGTGGTAGGACCCAGATTGGCACCTTGGTGGGCTGACCCCGTAGCTGCGCTGTAAATGCCGTGCCCAGCTCGGCAGATCCCCGTCAGTGGGTCAGTGTCAGTGCAGGCGCGTGTTCTTGCTGCCTGTGCTTGGCGCAGGCCTGAGCTCAGCCCACGGGCTGGGGCTGAGTCAGACAAGACCTGCCTGCACAGGATGACAGACGACAGCCTGGGAGGAGGGGTAGGGACAAGGAAGGAGTAGGAAAAGGCACCCCGTGGAGCCTGTGGATCACTGTGACGACCCTGGTGTTGGAATGCAGGCTGGACCTGGGCCACAGGGTGTGACAAGGCTGCCAGGCCCTGTCCTTGTCTCAGAGCAGCTGATGGCCTAGACTTAGAGTATCTGAGGTCAAACAGGGCCACCTGGAGAGGGAGAAGTCTCCGTCAGAGGGCCCCCAGGGAATGTGAGGTGCCAGCCAGCCACGGGCTCTTAGGCTGGGTGCAGCCTGAGACTGTGAACATCCGAATGCTAGAACCTCTCGATAAGGAAGCTGCAGAGCCGAGGCGACCCTTTGGGGCCCTGGTCAGAGTGGCTCCAGACCCAGCGGCCAGCGTACGTGGCTTCCAGTCCTCTGCTCATCTGTGAAGTCACACGTAGAGTCCAGAGAGCAGCTTACATCGTGACTTCCCAAAGCTGCCAGTGTGTTTTCGCAGGGGCGGTGAGTGACCGTGAGGACCGAGAGCAGGTCTTTCTCTGGATAACTGTGGCGACCACCAAAGCGTCTCCCTCCGTGACCCCTCTGCTGTGGCCCCCATTGCCTCAGGATCAAGCTCCACCTCCTAACCATGGCATTCAAGGCCCCTGGAGCTCTGGCCTGGGACTCCTTCTTCATGCTCAGTCCCCTCTACCCTGCTCCAGCCACTCTGAGCTCCTGCAGGTCCCTGAACATGTCAGGCTCTTCTGGCCTATAAACTTTCCCCGTGTCTAGAAGTTTCTACTGCCTGCCCCTGTTTAGACTGTTTGGCAAACCCATTCAGCAGGAATGTTGCTTCCTCCAGGAGGACTTTCCTGAGCTCACATCAGCTCATTCACTCCTCAGTGCCGCATGTGACACGACCCTTCTGGTGGCCCTCTTGTTCCCTGTGCCAGGCCGCCGGCCCCACAGCCACGTGACCCTCCTCATCACCAGCGGGTTCCAACTTGGCTCCAAATCCCTGCCCTGGGATGTGAAATGTTTCATGAGCGAGTGACTCAGTGGATAAATCAACATGGGAAGGTATTTGCTCCACTGCCCATGGGCAATGGAAACTTCTGGCCGAAGGGACTGCTGCTCAATGGCAGTGCTGGGCAGTGAGGCATAGAAATTGGGATTTGTGCAACAGAAAGAAAGTCATTGCAAAGGCTGACATTTATCACGCGCTACTCGCCTGCCTGGCACAGTAACGAGCTGCATTCCCCCAACGAGCTTATGAAGTAGTAGAATTATTGATTCTCATTTTGCAGAGGGGGAAACTGAGGCAGGAGGTAAGGTCACTTGCCCAAGGAAGTGAAAGCAGCAGTACCTGAAAGGAGGCACAGGCTTCGCCACCACCTTTGTGACGTCTGGTGTGCTCTGGGAGCTGTGGCGTGACTTATGGTGAGGGCAGTTTTTATGAGAATGGCAAGATAGACGTGCTTTATCTGCAGATGTGTCTGAGTGCTTTTCCGTGAGTGCGCGCTGGGCGCCGGCCGTGTCCCAGGCACAGTAATCCAGGCACGAACCCTGCTCCCCAAAGCTTGTAGGGGAGACAGACGCAGACACAATCATTGGTGCTCCAGTGCTGTTAGGGCAGAGGACAGTGTAGGACTGCGGCCTGGCCTGGAGGGTGACAGGGACGCTCATGCAGAGAGATGAACAGTTAAGCTCCTCAAATGTCCTTGTCCAGTGTTGTCCCAGAGCTAAGATCACGCTCCAGTGTCAGGGCCTTTAGGAATTACTGGTGAGTAGAGCAACCCCTGGTGGCAGCTACAAAAATCTTTTTGTTGTTTGCTGAATTGTAGGCAGCCGCTTGCTCACGGCTTGTGTCTGCGCAAAGCTGCATGTTGCACGTTTGTTACCCTGGCAGCAGGCAAGGCTTTAAAGAACAGTGTTGATAATGTCAAAAACTAAAACACAGGCAAAAGGCATGAACATACAAATAATATAAAAGAAAATACAAATGGCCAGTGGTCTTACCAAAAACGGTCAGCTGCATTAGTTATAAGATAAATGCAAATAATCAAAACCTCAGGATTCCATTTTCTTACATTTGTCAAATATTAAAAGATCTCGCTGCTGTGGAGGGTTTGAGCTATTGAGAGCATAAATGGGATCATCCTTTGGGAAGGCTGTCAACCAGTATTACCTGCCTCGAAAATACCTATTCCTGTTTCTTAGCCACTTGACTTCCATGAACGTATCCAAAAAGTGGCCAGAGGGTGTGGATGAGTTATGCACAGTGATGTTTATCTCAGAGCCGGTTTATAGTTGGTAAAAACTGGAAACAACCTACATGTCCAATAAGAAGGCATTGGTTTGGTAATTTAAGGCATGCCTTATGGCGGAGGATGTTAGGTAGCTATAAAAACCACATTGCAGAAACTTGTGGAGAAATGATCTTTCTGTATCATTAAATGGAAAACGCACAAAGCACAAATTTACATTTCGTGTAAGGAGAAATTGTATAGTGTCTATGCATAGGAAAATGTCCGTGCATAGAACCCCAGGAGGATATATTCTAACACGTTAGTGTTTGTGTCTGGACATCATTGTATTCCTCATTTTCTTCTTTTTGCTTAGCTTTCAAAATAATTGCACATTAACACTGAAATCAGACCAAGTTGTAGGCAAGTGTTTTCTGGAGTGTTGAAAAGTAGGAAAGCCTGGCCAGGCTGGGCCGCGTGCAAAGCAGGAAGGGACAGAGAAAGCCCCACATCACGTCTGGAGACCTGAGCGTGGCACCTGTTCTCCCACTGACTTGCTGTTTGACCGTGGACAGCTCACTCACCCTCTCTGAGGGATGACTTCGTCACCTGTGAAAGGAAGGGGAGAAATGGACAGTGGGTAACACTGTAGCACGGCATCACCTTCCAGGGTGTCCCCCAGTGGATGCCGCCTCCTTGAGGCAGGGATCTGTGGGGGTTCATCCACGGCCGTACCCCGGCTCCAGTGCACGTGCTCAGGGAGCATTTGTGGAATTGCATAGAGGTCAACCTTGGCATTGAAACAAAGTCCAAGTGGGATCTGTGATTAAAAAGTGACGACCGTTGCTCCCTTCCTGAGACGTGAAAGTGGCTTTCGATGCTGCCCCCCCCCCGGCCTCTTCCCTTTCCCTCTGCTCCTTCCTCCGTCCTTCCCCTCCCCTGTCTCCTGCTCGCCTTTGAATTTCTCTCTCTTTCCTTCTCCATCCGACCCCCCTCTTCTTTCTCGTTCACTCTCGTTGTCTCCTTTCCTGTCTGTCTTCGGTCTCTTTTCATTTCCTCTTCTCCTTCTCACTCCTGTGCTGACTTTGAGATGCGACGGAAGTGTTTAATTCTGATCAAGTGGGAGCCAAATGGCAGCAGGCTGTGAGCCCCGGGGGGTGGCAGCCAGTCGGGAGTCCCTCGGGACAGATGGCCCTGCCCAGCCCTCTGGTTTTCACTGGTTTGGGCCGAGGCTCCTGCATCGGTACTCGTTGAAAGCTTCTGGGTGATTCTGTCACCCAGCATTGAGGTCCTTGGTTCATGAGCAAACGTGCACATGACAGAAACCATCACACGTGTAAATGGGAGGTCACGTACTGGAGGGTGACGAGATGATGCTGAGAGGGAGGGCGATGAGGACTTCATTTGGGGGAGGGCCAAGGAAGGCCAGAGAAGGCTCCTGCAGCATCTGGCCTCCACGCTGGTCCCAGGAGGGCAGGAGGTCAGCCAGGCAGCGGGCGCGGAGAGAGGTCCAGGCCAACGCTCCGAGGCTCGAGGCCCTTCCAGGAGCATGGAGGGGGTGGGTGGAGCGGGCTGGGGAGGCCAGCGGGGGTTTTAGCTTTCGGCGCAGTGGGAAGCGCTGATGGCTGAGAACAGGAGAGCCACCTGATCCACTTTCCATTTTAGTACCTTCGCTTCCATCGCCCAGACGCAGAGTGGAACATGGAAGGGAGGGGCCAAGAGCCAGGTGCGGGAAGGCTTTGCCTGCGGCACGTGATCGATCCCTCCCGGGAGGGCCAGGCGGAAGGAATAGAACGTGCAGAGGAGGCCTCGGAGGCATGGAGAGCTGGGGCAGGCAGGTGGCCACCGTGAGGGGGAGCCAGAGTGCTGAGCGGCAGGGGAGTGACAGCCGTGGGTGGCCTCAGGCGCCTGCTGCAGCACGTGCACTGTCCCCTGGCCTGAGTGCAGCTGAGGGAGGCCTTGCCGTCCGAGGGTCTCCCTGGAAGCTACAAGAAGGATGCGAGGGGCGTCTGCTGAGGGCAGGTTTAGGGCCTGGGGAACAGGCGGGGAGGGGACAGGGCATTTAATGTTCATTTCTGTTTCCACCTCACCTGGAACCTCACCTGGCACCTAGTAGGAGCCTAATAAGTGCTTGCTGAATAAATGCTCTAATAAGTCCAAAACATCTGCTTTCTTCTGCTTCTATCCATCCATCTAATTGTCATTTATTGAGCACCTACTGTGTGCCAGGCTGGGGTGCGGGTGCAGACAAAATGACGCCATTTCCCCCTGAAGGAGCTCACAGTCTAGTCGGGGAGGGGCGAGTCGGCCAACAGCACCAGGTTAGGACAGGTGGCGGAAGCAGCCCGGGGCAGCGGGAGCCCAGCGAGACCTGGCCTGAGCCCCTTGTGGATGGGAGTGGGAGCTGATTTTCTTCTGCCCGCCCCATGCCTCCACCCGCAGCAACAGGAAGGAGTCGCCTCTGAGGAATGGTGATCTGTCAAGGGGGCAGCCAGCGCCAAGCTCCCCGCTGCCTGCCTTTTGGAGAGGGGCCAGGGGAGAGGCTTGCCCAAGGTACCCAGTGGAAGCATTTGGGACTTGTTGACAATTGAGGGACAGGGCTGTCCAAGCCCCCTCGGCAGACACCCGCTTCCCTTGGTGGAACACTGAGAGAACTTCCGCACAGGAAGGGGGGGGCTGGAGCCTCGGGTGCCCCTTTGGGGGGCACAGTTGCATCCTGGCTGGACCGACAAGCTCCTCCAAGGACCTAATGCCACCATCATTGTCTACTGGAAGGCGCCCAGGTGCTGAGAGGAGGCAGTGTGGCCTGGGGAACCCAGCACAGGACCAGGCTGTGCTGCCAGGCCATGCATGCCCTCTGCTCTCTGAGCCTCGGTCTCCTCACCTATGAGGGGACTCATCCCCCTGCCAGGGAGGGACCCGTGGGGATGGGCTTGGAGTGGACACTTCAGCCAGGACACTGACAGCTCCTGACTTCCTTTGTCTTGCTCCAGGACGCGCTGGATTGTGTTCAGGGCACCTCATTGCACCTGCCCAGGGAGGAGGCGCCAGAGGCCTGCGAAAGCCAGGGCTGGGGAACCCGCCTCCGGTCCGGTGACGGCCCTGGACCAGGGGCCTCCGCAGGTGTGTGGGCGCCTCTGTGCATGCAGGGTGGGGTGCCTGGGCCACACTTAATCCTCGTGATGTCCTGATGATGCAGGGGGAGGGGTGGTCCCCCTCCACAGACAGGAAGCTGAAGCTCAGAAGGTAGTGTCACTTGCTCAGTGTCACACAGCTGGTAAAGGTGGGACCAGAGTGAGCAACACCCATGAGGGGGTCTTTGACTTAGGCTCACACCCCTGGCCCTCGGGAGGGTTCCAGCCAGGGGCCCAGCATGCCAGCAGGCTGGCAGCCGGGGCCTGTCTCCACGGAAGTCCAGACAAGTTCTTGGAGCTGTCCTGCCCCTAGCCCCACCCTAGGTGAGAGCTCAGGTGTAAGGGAGTGGACTCGCACCTGGCAGGTCTGGGATCTGCTGGGGCTTAGAAGCCTCTTGTCCCTGATGTGAGCCAACACCTCTAGGGTAGTCCGAGAACAGTCTCAGGCCTGGTTTCCGGAGCTTGCAGGCAGGGCACCTCGCAGCGCTGTCCAGCCTCCACGCCAGGTGCGGTTTAGGGACCACGTTATCCCATGTATTTATGGCCCGGCAGTGCTGCTGACTGGTGCGGCCAACGTCGGCCCTTTAGCCCCATTTCTGGGGAGCAGAGCTGCCAGGTCGACCCAGGTCAAGTTTATGCCGGCTGCGTGGGCTTCATCCTCACGCCAGCTTTGCGGGGCTGGGGGTGGAGGCCAGCCTTAGCCTAGCAGCGGGTGGCACAGTCGCTGGGAAGGGCTTTTTAACCGTCGGGGTCATGTTGCTTTCCAGGCCAGCCGTGGGGGGGGCCCTGTGGCTGGGGCTGTGTCGAGGCTGGACGAGGCTCTTCTGTTTCGGTGTCAGGCCCGGAGGCCAAGGGCAAGCTCCTGGGAGACCTGGCAGGATCTGACCATGAACCGGTGAGGCCAGAGGCTTTGTGCCTGCGCCGGTGTCCACGGTGCCTTGTCAGCCCCACTGCGTGCATGCACAGTGTGGCCACCCCGTGGGAGGTGGGGCAGGGGGGTAAAGAAGCTCCAGGTGTGGAAGAACATTCTGGAAATGGTGGAGAGGGACGTGCTGAGACCTGGGTGGGGAGAGGGAGGAAAGGGAGCCCCACCTGTGTGCCAGGCCCAGGCTGCCGCGGCACAGTCACCACCTCACTGGAGCCTCCTGACGTGTACAAGGCAGGTGCTGTCACCCGGCTAGAGGGGAGGGGATGGGCCCCCAAGAGTGCTGTGATTCCCCAAGGCCACCCAGCCATCTCGGTGGCCCACACTCTGCCCCACGCCAGCCCGAGGGCGGGGAGCCGGGCCTCACTCTGGGGCCACAGTGAGTCATCACCTTTCTCAGCTTCCATGTCCTTGTCTGTCGCTGAAGAACAGACACCTGCTCGGACCCGGGCGAAAGCTGCCACCCTGCTGGGCTCTGGTGGTTCTAAGCAGAGGGGCCTCTGCTGTTTCTTCATTCACTCACGTCCTGCTCACGACTCGTGCCTTATGTTTACTGGACGTCACACACCTGGACTCCTAACTCCTCCCTGCCTCCGTCCTTCTAACACTGGGGCACCCACTTTCCAGATGGGAGGCTGGGGCCCCAGGAGGTTGAGTAACTTGCCCAAGGTCACACTGGGGTTGAGGCTGGGTCTGGATGTCTCTGGCGCAAGCACTCATTTCACTGTGGGCAGCCGAGGACCAGTGTCTTGGTGTAGAATGTTGAGAGGACAGAGGATGGGGCGCTACCTGCAGGTGGCTCCAGGGACAGGGACGTGGTGGCACCCAGGCGGGGAGGCCCTCCTGGCCTCCAAGCCCCCTCTGCTGCTGGTGTGCCCACTTGCAAGGTGCTGTTCTTTGAGAGGTCCCTCTGCCCTTCGTCCCTGGCTCTAGACCTGCCCAGTGGCTCTGGGGGCTCCACTGAGAGCCGGCTGACAGCCCCCAGGTACTGAGAGAAGACCCCAGGGCTCACAGTGGGCCTGGCAGAAGCCGAATCTCATCTCCCTGTCCTCCCCGCAGCCCAGCTCGGGGCTGCTCTGTGAGCTGGGCCCATCCTCCTCTCTGGATAAACACACCGAATAAGTGAATATAAATGTATATTTAAAAATATCCAGGAAACAGCTTCTGTGTGCCCGGCACTGTTCTAGACCCAGGGGTTGAACAATGATGCAGTCCCTGTCCTCAGGGAGTGGGCAGCCTACACTGGCACTGTCCACTAGAATATTCTGTGACACTGGAAATATTCTACATCTGCACTGCCCAAGATGGTAGCCACGAGCCGCTTGGGGCCACCGAGTACTTGAAATGTGGCTCTTGCCACTGCAGGACTGAATGTCAACTTTTATTTAATTACTTTACATTTCAACAGCCCCGCGTGGCTTGTGGCTGCCAGTTTGGACCTGCGAGGCTCTGGGGGAGGGGCAATGTGGTGCGAGGGAGCAGAGGGTGCTGTGGCAGAAGGCGAAGCGGGAATGTCCAGAGAGCGACGTGCAGGGAGGGATGTGTTTGAGTCTCGGTGTGAATGGAGCGGTGGAGGGAGCCGTGAGGGCCTCTGGGCGAAGGACATTCTGAACAGAGGGTGGAGCACGTGCAAAGGACCTGGGGTGGTCACAGGCTTGGCCTTTGTGGGAATGAGCCGGGCTCTCACGCAGCTGGTAAGAAGCACAGAGCATGCCAAGAGGTGAGGTCAGGGGGCTAAATGAGGGAAGGGGCTATTTCACTCCTTGTCTTCTCTTCCTGTCCACAGCTTACTCTAGCTGCACGCAGCTTGGATGAACAGATTCTTGTCGTCATCTGTGGCCGCTCACCGGGGCAGTGCTTGGACGGGTCACTCCGCCCTGTGGACCTGGCCAGAATTTCAGAGAATCTCACAGCCGCCCCTGCCCCAGAGTCCTTTCTCCTGGTGCAGACGTGCACACTCCCTCCCTGGGGGCTGGCTGGGGACTCTGCTCTCCAGCTGCCGCTGCTGCTCCAGGAGGCTTCCCCAGAAGGACTCCAAACCCCAGAGGTGTCAGACACCAGACCCCTGCCTGCTGATGGAGCCGCAGGGCACCCCAGCTGGGACTGTCATCAAGCAAGGAGCAATCCCTCCCTCTGCCAGGAGGTCCCACGCATTTTAAATCACCGACCTCCCAGGAAAGGGCCCAGGGATCTAAAAGACACCTGGAATGAGGGCGGAGGGGCTTCGAGGGGGAGAACCAAGGAGGGGGAGGCGAGGAGGACTTTGGGCAAGAAGGAGGAAGACCTCCTGGACAAGTGCCAGCCGAGTCAGGGAAGCCATGAGCACCTGGGCTTGGAGAATGGGGTCCGAGCCTCAGAAGGCGTGCAGGACGAGGTGGAGGCGTCACGGAGCCAGGCTGCTGCCGGCTGCCCTGGGCCTCCCCGGGAGTTTCCAATGCTGCTTCTGCAGCGGGGAGGCCCTGTGTCACAGGGGGGTCCCGAAACCCTGAACAAGAGAGATAGGGCAGAAGGATGTGTCTGGGGCCTCCTTGGGGGGCTGCCGTCAGAGGAGGAGGAAGGGGTCCCCCCAGCCACCTTCTCCAGGGCTCATGGGACCAAAGAGTTCTGGCCGGCAGGTGGTCAGCTCCTGGCAGGGAGGGGCAGAGTCACGGGCAGGGAGGACACCCAGCTGCGGTTTGGGGAGGCTCTGCTCCTGCGAGCGGAAAGCCCCAAGGGGGGAGGCCAGGAAGAAGAGGAGAAGGAGGTGCGACATCAAGAAGCATCCAGTCTGGGTCACAGGGACGTCCCTGAGAAGCCTGACTCCGAGGAACATGAGGGTGAGAAGACGCTTTTCTCCGTGGGAGAGAGAGGTTTGCTGCACGGATGGGCCCTACCAGGTGGCAGGGGTGACCCCACCAGCAGTCCCTGGGCTCCGAGCAAAGGATGTGACAGGTACACTCTCAAAATAGACGAATTTGCAGAGGAGATGGAGGCCTACTTCCAGCAGCTCTCCATCCTGAGGCTTGGTGGCGGGCGGCAGAGGACAGCCCCCGTGCTGGCGGGAGAGAACGGGAGATTTGCTCGGAAGTGGCCCAGCTCCGGGGAGAGCGCTTGCTCTCAGCAGATTTGGGGACACCAGGGTCTGGGTGTTTGTTCTGTCGAGGAAGCAAAGGCCAGAGAGAGTGGGGACGGTGTTAAACTGGGAAAGACCACGGCCCTGGGCAGCAGCGGAGTCCTTCCAGGGATGCTGCCTGGTTGGGGTGAGGCTGGCCCGGGCCCTGCGGAGGCGCCCGCTGAGCCGCTGGGAGACGTCGAGAGAGTGAGGGGCAGGTTCCAGCAGCTCGTGTCTGGACTGAAGGAAGAGAGAAGCCAGGCTTTACGTGACAACATCAAACTCCAGGGAGACCAAGACAGATGCCACAGAAGGGCATGCGCCCTTGAAAAAGAGAGCGAGAGAGAGGGGACAGCAACGTCCAGGCTGGAGCGGGATAACGAGAGGCTGGTAGGAGACATCTCTCACCTAAAGAGGGAACTGGACCAATACGTGCAGGTCATTGCTCTCCTGGAAGACTGCAATGGAAAGAGCTACAGCAGAATTTCTGAACTCGAGGAGGAAAATGAAAACCTGAAAGGGAACCTGCGCCGACTCCAGAAGGCCGCGTCCGAGAGCGTGAGGACAACCGAAGGCACGATGGAGCGCGTCGCCCTGGCAAACGGGGAGCTCAGGGCGCTGATTTCGGAGCTTGGGGTCAGTTATAAAGAGCTGGTGAAGGAGATAGCGCTGGGAATGGAAGGCACGGTCCGCGACTTACGGCGGGAGAAGGAAGGCCTCCTGTGCAGAGTCCGTGTCCTGGAGAGGGAGGTCACCTCGCTGAGGAGCGCGGATGTGAGAGGAGGGGGGCGCCTCCCAGGAGAAACCCAGGTGCTCACTGTGGACAAGGAGGTTCAGGTGACTCATCTGTCAGGGCCCGCCTTGGAGGAGGAAACGGGTCCGACCGGAAGGCAGACAGGGCCTTCCTTAGGTGTGGAGAATTCTCCTCCATCCCTGGTCCGCAGAAACACGGGAGTGGCCAATGCCCTGCAGGGAAGTGTCAGCAGAGCAGGAGTGAAAGAAGCACGTTTGGAAAAAGAGGAGGAAAGGTCACGGTGTTCTGCGGCTGCAGGACAAGCTCAGAGGTCCCCGAGCGACGGCCCCCAGGTAGGTTGAGTCTGCACAGCTGCTCGCTAGTCGCACACGCTGACCTGCAGGTGGACCGCTCCAGGGTCCACTCCGGCTCCCTGTGAGGGAGGGCCAGTCATCATCCACATTGACCAGGTGAGAAAACGAAGGCAGAGAGGAGTGAAGTCACAGCCTGAAGTCCCAGGCCAGCGAAGGTGGGGCTGGGACTCACACCCGGATGCTCTGGCTGCAGAGTCTGTCTGTATACGCCCTCTGCTCAGGCTCGGCGGGGATCCGGGGTGTTTACTGATCAGACCTTGAATTTTCCAGTCTGGGGCCTTTTCAAGCAACCCAGGTCATATTTCTGTACACTGCGTCTTGAAATTTGCAGTGGGAAGAGCAGCGGACGGCAGAACGTGATAAAGCAGTTTCAGACCCCGCCCTGTGCTTGCAGACGTGTGTCTGGGAGCCCAGATGCAGGCCTCTCTGAGTCCTCTCACCTGTGGGCAATGCTCGGCCTGGGCTCCTCGGATACAGTGCTCGTGATGCCTGTGAGCCCTTTGCAATTACTCACATCTCTGTCTCTGCCTCCCTCCCTTGCCCTCTCCCCTCTCTCTCCATCTCCTTCTCTCTCTCTCCCTCTTTCATCTTTCTTGTCTCTCTCCCCATCTCCAGCGATTTTATCAATCATTTCAAAGAATAAGCTTTGGTTTTATTGATTTTCTTTATTGTTTTGTATTTTATTTCATTGGTTTCTTCTTGTATCTTCATTATTTTCTCTCTTCCAATTTCTTTTGATTCAATTTGCTGTTCTTTTCTGCTCCTGTGTTGAAAGCATGCACCATTGGTTTTCAGCCGTTCTTCCGGAACCTGTGCAGTGAAAGCTATACCTTTCTCTCTAGCATCCTTTCTGTGGTGATTGCTTCTTTGACCCATGGGTTATTTAAAAGCATGTTGCTCAATTTCCAAGCATTTCTGGAATTTGTTAGTTATATTTTTGTTATTGGTTTCTAGTTTTATTTCATTGTTGTCAGAAAGTGTACACTATATTATTTTAATCTTTTGAAATTTGTTGAGACTTGTTTTATTGACCAGGTGATACCATATCCCACAAGCCCTTGTAAATAATAAATATTCTGTAATTGTGAAGTATTAATTAGGCCAAGCTGATTAATTGTCCTTATCAAATCTTTTATATCATTACTGATGTGTCCTCTGTTTGTTTTGTCATTTACAAAGATGTGTCTTAAAGTCTCCAATTCTGAGTGTGCATTTGTGTTTCTTCTTTTAGTTATTTTTGATTTATATATTATGACAGTATTTATTTTATTTTATTTGCTATTTTTTCTATTTCATCTGTTGTTTCTTTTTATTTTTTCTTTTCTGCCTTCATTTTTGATATTAATCATATTTTTATTATTCCTTTTTCTTTTCCATTAGCTTATTGCATTATATATTTTAGTAGTATTCTTTTAGTGATTACCCTAGAAATATTAAAATATATCTATTAATTATTTAAATTTACCTTAAATTAGCATTTTTACCATATCTCAAATAATACAAAAATCTTTTAATAGTTTTATTTCCTTTCAACTTTTTTTTATTTTTTCATATATATTACTCCTATGTATAATAAACCTTACAAGTTCTTGTTATTTTAAATAATCCTTAATGTTTTTTATTTACCAATATCTTTACATGTTCTTGTGCTGTTCAATCTTTCTTCCTCTTCTGTGGATCTGTTTTCCTTCTGCCTTAAGAACTTTTTGATATTTTTTCTAGTGAGGGTAGGCTGGTGATTGATTAATTCTCTCATATTTATTTTCATGAAAACAATTTTTTCACCTCCACTTTTTAAAGATTTTTTTCACTGGATTCAGAATTTCAGGTCGGCAAGTTTCCCTCCTCTTTTGGTGCTTTAGAGATCTCACTCCACTGTCTTCTGCCTCACGTAGTTTCTATCCAGAAATCAGTTATCATTGTCATTGCTTTTTTCTCCCCTTCCCACCCCCCAAAAGAAATGCGTCATTTTATCTCTGACTGCTAGTAAGATTTCCTTTTTATCTTTGGGTTTTGGCAGTTTCATCATGATGTGCCTAGGTGTGGTTTTATTTGTGTTCGTCCTGCTTGGGTTTTTAAGCTTCTTGAAATTGTATATTCATGTCTTTTATCAGACTTGGAAAATTCTTGGTTATTATTTTTTCTAATATTTTATTCTGTCCTATTTTTCTCTCTTGTTCTTCTAGAAATCCAGACTTTTTTTTACTATATCCCACTTCTTTCAAGAACTCCATTCTATTTATTTTAATTTTTTCCTCTTAGTGCTTCAGTTTGGATTTTCTATTTGCCTATCTTTTAGTTCACTAATCCTGTGTTCTACTATGTCCCATCTGCTCTTAAATCCATCCAATGAGTTCCTAATTCCATTTATTGTATTTTGCAGTTCTAGAATATCCTTTTGATTCTTTTTTAAAGAGATTCTGATTCTCTGTTGAAATACTCCATCATTTCATCCATTTTGTTTATCTTTTCATATGTTTTATAAACTATGTATCACAGTTATTTGGAACGACTTCTCTGCTAATGCCAGTATTTGGATCATCTCTTTGCCTGCTTTTATTGACTATTTTATTTCTTGGTGAATCATCATGTTTTCCTGCTTCTTTATATGTCTAGTAATTTTTGAAACTTTTCATGTTGGACATTACATATGCTATGTTGTGGAGACTTCTGGTCATTATCTTCCTCTAAAGGATGTTGAGTGAGGCAAGGAGTTGAATGATCAGCAGATCTTCTTATTTCTGTGCAGGCCTATGTCATTTTTGTCCAATCCTGGACCTTGATATTACTCCTAACGTGTGTTCCTTGCTCCTAGGCTAGGGCACAGCCTTTCAGTGTATCTGCACAGTTCCAGAGCATTCACCAAGGCCTCTCGACTTTGGCCTGGCTGGAACTCTGCCATCTTCTCAGCAGCATGTGACCTCTGAAATCTCTTCAGCAGTTACTCTCCCAGCCGCTGTCTCTGCAAGGCTTAGGGTCTTGTACTCTGTCCCATAGCGTATGATTTGGCCAGGGACCCAATGGGCATTTCTAGAGCAGTGTTTGGATTCCTTCTCCTCAGCTCTCCCCTCCCTGTTCCTTTGTCCTGCACACCCCAGCCGTCTCAGCACCCTCAACTCCAACCTCTGTTCCCCCACCTGGCAGGACCACCACTCACAGCTTGGGCTCTGGTTCCTAAACTATGGTTTGCAAAATGTTTCGGAGAAAACTCCAGGGATGATGTGGAGCTTGCATGTTGTGCTTTCTTTTCCCCGAGGATTGTAGTCCTGCGTCGGCCGTCTTCCAAAGCCTGCAAAGAATTATTTTCATATACTCTCTCCAGATTGTATAGTTTGTACAGTACCAGGAACTGGGAAATCTGAGGAGAGGAATATTGAGCTGAGACTTTCAAGGTTAGAAAGGAGCAGCAAGGAACTGCATTCCAGGCAGAGGGAAAAGCAAGTGGCCAGGCCCTGCAGCAGGCAGGAGTCTGGCTTGTCGAAAAGCCAAAAGTGGCTGGTGTGGCTGGACCACAGCAGGCGGGGTGGGGGGGGTGACGTGAGATGAAGTTGGAGACATTGTCATGAGGTAGGTTACAGAAGGCCCTATGGACTCATTACTGATCTTTTCTAAATGTGGTGGGAAGCTGCCAGAGGGTTTTGAGCAGAACAACATGGTCCAACTTATACTGTAAAAAGATCACTGTCTGCTGTGAGGAAAATGGGCCAGATGGATTCAGGGAGGACAGTTGAGCGTTTGTGGTTGTATAGCCAAGAGATGATTCTAGATAGGGAAATTTGGGGTTAAAAACTGGAGTTGGAATCCATAGGGTTTGGTGATAAACAGGTGGCAGAGGGTAAAGGGAGAGTCCCCTTCCTGTCATCCTAAGTCACAACCTGTTCGTGTTACTCTTCGACCTAAGGCCCTTCTGCTGCTTCCCTCTGCACAGGGCATGAAATCCAGGCTCCCTGCAGTGAGCAGTATTCTGGCCCCTGAGACCCTTGGCAGCTTCAGTTGTTGCTGTTTGCACCCCAGCCTCCGTACCCCATGCTGCAGCCTCTCCCCCAATTCTCTACGCCCTACATTTGCCCATGCCTGCACCCCAGCTTTCTCCTCTAGTTCTCCTGTTGGGGCATCTCCTCTGGGAAGTTGCCCCCAAACCCCTGGCTGGGTTCCATGCAGAGGAGTGTCAGAGTTGACTCGTGTACATTTCTTCCCAGCTTTGCCTTCCGTGACACCATCATGGTCGCTGGCTTGCGATTGGTTGTGGTGGGAGCATTGACGCCACGGAAATCAGCAAATGCTGCAGACTGGTACTGCACCCCCCAACCCGGAGAGCAGTTGTACATTTGCCACCACTGCACTGGGTGGGGCCCCTGGCTCAGTGTCCCATGTAGGCTCCTGCAGCTTCCTGGCTTCCCTTCCCCAGGTTGTGCTGAATCGCCCGTGTTGGTGTCATTCTCCCCACCAGACTGAGCTCCCAGAGGGTGGTGTTCATCACTGTTGCCAGCGGAAGGATAGCATGCAGCTGGATAGCATGTACTCAGTGTCTACTAGGGAGCAAGTGACTTGCTGGGCAGCCACAGGGCTGCTGCGTGGGATAGTCCCATGTGATAGGCAGGCTGGTCCCACCCACACTGTCATTCTCCTTAGAACATATGTGGATGCTGTCATAGGACCCATGGGACAAAGCACTTGTTCAAGTCACTGCCAGACGAGGGAGGCAGAGGAGGCGTCACACTTCTCAGAAAGGCCAAGTTGTTTTGAAGTCTTGGGGCTGGATTTTCTGGAAGCATTCGGAGCACCCATCTGTTCTTGACAGGGCCCAGCCTGTGAATCCCAGGCCACACGGTGTGAATTTCTATTAATTAAAACAATATATATCCCATTCTGCTATCGCATTTTTTATTAACAAGGGAGATGCCCAGGCAGTGACGGAGTCACTTTGGTTCCTCCTCCCGCCCCTTTTCCCCGACAGAGCAGCGCAGGACCCCTCCCACTTGCTCCCACTCAGTCAGGAGAGCTTTATGGGCCTTAAAACTCCCCAGGTGGCTGCTTTAAATGAAACGGAGACCACTGTGAGCACGGGGAAGGCCTTTGAGGTCTGTCTGAGTTTCTGGGCTCCTGACCGTCTCTGACGGGACTTTTAGCTGAGCTGGTCCTTCCTAAGGCGTCCTTAGCAGTGCAATTTGGGAGCTTAAAGATGCTCATGCCCTTTGACCCAGAAGATCTCCCTCTGATGCTTTTGGAGAAAGAAACGAGATACGTTCATGTGTATGTGTAAAGGTCTTTGTCAGAGTCCCAATTATAACAGCATAACGTTGGGATGATCTGAGCATTCAGCTGGGCCACGCAGTGTCACACATATGCCAACGACAGCGTTTTCAGCGTTATTTGGTGATAGGGAAAAATGCTTATGATGGTGTTAAGGGAGAAAGGCAGGAAACAAAAGATATTAATGTATATTGTGTTGACTTCTAGATAGAAAAATATGTGTCTGTGTATGTTTGCGAGCACGAATATAAGTTATTAATAGAACTTAGACCCTAGCACCATTTGGGGGCAGTAGCATCTCTGCGTTCTCCGCACTTCCCATCTGTCCCCCTCCCCTCCCCGCCCCCAGGAACTCCCTTTGGCATCCAGATGACACCCGATACTCTCATGTGAGATCCGAGGGGAGTGCGGGGCAGTTTTGTACTGAGTCAGTACTGTGGGAAATACGGTATTTTCTGTCTTATGTGAATATTAATATATGACGCAGTTATGTAATAAGCGTCTCATAATTTGATTGGAATGTTTGGTTTCATTCATCGTGCTGTATTTCAGCACAGTAGTGACTGACATGGGTTATAGTGGATCCCAGCGTGTCATTCCATGCCACGTGTTTTTGAAAACAATATGCTGGGCTGTTATTCTGGAATTCCTAGACACCCCCTCCCAGCACCCATCAGGAGACGAGCCAGAGCCCCTCACATAGGTGCCATGTGGGGCCCGGGAGGAAGGTTGTGTGGAAAACGCGTGGACAGTAACAATGACGCTGCTGGATCATAGCACTGGGGGTGGTTTCCGTTATCTTATTTTCTGAAACTGTTTTTCTGTGACAAAAATGTAAGCACAAAAAAATTGAGGAGGAAAATGAGTCCTATGTGTTTGCTAAGGCAGGTTGCTTGGAAGGTGACGTAAGAATTTCACTGAGCCCTGTGCTTTCCACGGCTCCAGGACTCCAAGGCAGAAGTTCCTGAGGAAGACCCCAGGCTGCGTGCCCGGCGACTCCGCCACTGGGTGCTGACCCTGCAGTGCCAGCTCAGGGACCAGGCAGCCGCTCGCCGAGAGCTGCAGGCGTCTCGGGACCGGGCGCTCCACCTCCAGGAGGAGCTCAAGGGCAAGGTCAGCTGGGCCAGCCCTCCCTTACCCCGGTCACCCGTGTCCCCACACCTCGGGCAGTGCTGAGAGCAGAGATGAGCATCAGCTGAGGTCTCACTGGCCACTACCAGCAACTTGTGAAGGTTTACCAGATTTTTAAAGCATAGAAGAGCATAATAAAGAAAAAAGCGGCTTGTGATCCTGCGTCCATCTAAACTCTGTTAAAAAAAATCAATACACACATATGAAGCGCACAGTATATGGAACTATGCCATGCACTAGTCTGCATCTTGGTTTTGTCATTTAATTAAAAATCTTGGTGACAGTTCCATATCAACACACACAGACTGACCTCATTCCTTTAAACTTGTGCATATTATTTCATCATGAGGCCAAACCATAACTTATTTAACCAGTTCTTTGTGGAAGCTCAAATTGTTTCTGTTTCTTTGCATTAAAAACAAGGCTTCAGTGAACACTCTATCTTGGCGTATGTTTCGGCTGCACATCTAAAGGGTAAAATTCTGGCAAGAGAAGTCAGGGTCACAGGGTAGGCACATCATTAACGTTGAAAGATAGTGGCAAGTAAACCTCAAAAACAACAATCCCACCAGGAATATGTGAGTGTACTTGGTTGCCCACAGCTTGTTTCCGTCAATTTTACCAAACTTTACAATTTTTGACAAGCTGATAGATGAAAAACACACCGTCAGCATTTTGGTGTGATTTCGCATTCTTTCCCCATACGTTCTTTGTATCATCGAAGCACATTTTACGTAGAGTTTTAGGTCTTTTTGTCCTTGTGGCTGCATAGCCTTCGTGTCTGTGATTGTTTGACATTATTATTGTGTAGGAATCTACTGGGTGGATGTGGTTTCCTTAACTATTCTCCTGTTGTTGGGTCTATAGTTTTTCTATTAACTTAAATACAATTGTTTATGTATAACCATTCAGAGAACTGGCATTACTGGTTCAAAGGGTGGGAATATTGTTGATTCTTAACCCATATTGCAAAATGGCTTCCTAAAACCGTGGCACCCACGTCCAAGAGACTGCAATACATGAAGGTGTCCCCTTCACTGTGCCCTCAACCAACACAGGCAGGAGCAGACCGCCTTTGTCTGGCACTGGGCTGTGAAAGGGTAGCTCTGGTTACACGCAGGGCAGACCTTTCCACCAGAGCCCGTATCTTTTTAGGTCTATTTTTAATTACCTTGATTCTTTTTTTCTTTCTGCCTTTCAGTTTGGTGTTTTCTTCTAATCTGTCTCTCAGTTAAATAACATTCTTTGGATGAATCTAATCTGCTCTAATCTCATTATTTTAGTTCTTAATTTCAGTTAGTGTATTTTGCAGTTCTACAATTTCCATTCGATTCTTTTTTTTGTAGTTCCTGGTTCTCTGATGAAATTCTTATAATCTTGGACATTTTAATTACAGTTATTTTAAAGTGTATCTCTGCTAACTTCATTTTACTTTCCCACCAGCAGTGCCGGAAGGTCCTGCCCCCTGCCCCTCCTCACCATCCAGATCTGTCTTTCTGACTACTGGCATCCTAGTAGGTAGGAAGCAGTGTCTCACTGTGGTTTTCACGTGTGTTTTCCTAATGGCCGATGCTGTTGAGCATCTTTCATGTGCTTATTGGTCATTTGTATGCTTTCTTTGAATAAACATCTGTTTAGATTCTTTGCCCATTTTGTAATTGGATTATTTGCCTTTTTCTTATTGAGTTGTAGGAATTCCTTATATATTCTAGATAGTGGTCCCTTAGTAGATATATGATTTGCAAATATTTTCTCCAATTCTGTGGCTTATCTTTTTACTTTCTTCCCATTCTTTTTTGTTTGTTTGTTTTTGTTTTTTGTTTTTTATAGAGACAAGGTCTCATGCTGTCATGTGAGCTACAGTGCAGTGGACTTATCACAGCTCACTGCAACCTCTAACTCCTGGCATCAAGCGATCCTCCTGCCTCAGCCTCCAGAGTAGCTGGGACTACAGGCATGGGCCACCGCACCCAGCTAATTTTTCTGTTTTTTGTAGAGAGGGGTCTTGCTCTTGCTCAGGCTGGTCTCAAATTTCTGAGCTCAAGGGATCCTCCCGCCTTGGCCTCCCAGCGTGCTAGGATTAGGGCCTGGCCTCATTCACTTTTCAATTGCAAATGCCCCACTATGCATTTCACAGTGACATATTCATGCTATTTTTTTAACTGGAGCAGACAGAATGTTTAATATAAGCCTGCAAATACTATTGAGTGCCTTTTGAATATAAGACAATCTACCTGAAGCTGGAATTTTACTCTTTGAATATATTCAGAAAGTATGCCAAAACAGGTACACAGAAACGTTCATCAAAGCCTTGTTTGTATAATAAAACAAAGAAACGGAAGCAATACAAGTTTCCATAAACAAAGAATTGGTTAAATAAATTATGTTTCAGCCTATGATAAAGTAATATGCAAGATTTAAAAAAAATGAGGTCAGTTTGTATGTGTTGATATGGAAATAACACCAAGATTTTCAATTAAATGATGAAACAACATGCAAAACATTCTGTGTAGTATAATTTCGTATGTGTACGCAACATTCTAATTCATATGTGTATGTGGGGTTGAAAAAATAGTAGAGTTCAGAAGAGGTTAGTGTTCTAGAAAGAAGAACATTTATTTCTGTGGCTTTTTTTTTTTTTTAACCAACTACAGAGGGAACAAGAGATGAATGAGAAGAACTCATACAACTGCCATTTTTTATATCTTGTGGGTCAGGAATTCAGACAGGACTCGGCTGGGCAACTCCGATACCCAAGGCATCAGTGGTGGTCACTCAGTGACATTCACCTGGACCCTGGGCTATGCTGGAAGGTCCAAGGCAGCCTCACCCATGTGCCTGGCACCTCTGCAGGATGGCAGAAAGGTGGCACTCACCTGTGCCTTCCTTCCTCTCTGTGCTGTCTCGGGGCCTCCCCACGTGTCTCCCCAGCAGGTGCTTGGACTTCTTAAATGGCGACTCAGAAAGAGAAGAGTCCAAAAGTGGAAGTTGCCAGTCTTCTTCAAGACCAGGCCCAGAAAGGCGCCAGTGTCTCTCCTGTTTCCTATTAGTCAAAGCACCTCAGGCCTGCCCAGGTTACAGGGAACCGCACGTGACCCCCCTCTCACCTGGAGCAGTACCAAAGAATCCGTGCCTATCTTTAGTCTGCCCCAAATAGTAACAGCAGTTTATTGAGCACTGACAGATGCCAGGCCTTGTTCTAAGCACCGTACATGAATTGATTCACTGAACCCTCACTACGATTCTTACCATTGGGTGGACACTAATATTACCCCGCTATATAGATGAGAAAACTGAGGCAGAGAGAGAACAAGTGCCTTGCACAAGGTCATAGCTCTTGTGAGTGGCTGAGCTGGGATTAGGACACACAGTGTCTGGCTTAAGAACCCACATGTTGAACACCAGACCAGAAAACTGCCACTCGGTACAAGGACTCAGGGGAGGCCTCCTTCCTGCAGGAGCCGGCGTGGCAGCCAGCCCCGGAGAGTGCACTCGGGCAGAGCTTGCTCCCAAGTATTCAGAATGTCCATCGTCCCCGACCCTGCCAAGTGGGTGGTGGCGAAGGCCCCGTCCAGCACCGAGTGTCCGTGAGGGCAGAGAGGAAGGCCAAGGCACCAGCCGCTCTGAGCCTGCCTCGCCCGGGGAGCCCCCGGAGGGGGGAATGGTGGTGCAGTGTTATCAAAAATTCCTTCTATTTCAGCTTGAAGAACTGCAGAGAAAGCAACATGAGGCACATTTGGCCGTGACTCCTCTGAAGGTAATAGGTTCATAAAACTAATATGAAATGTCGCTTTCAAAAGAGTTTGGTATTTTTCCCATTATGCATGTGGTCCATCTCTGTTGCATACCGGGAAGAAGAGTGAAGGAGACAAAAATCACCCAAATCCCCAGATGAATGTACCGTTGTCACGTATTTTCTTCCAGCATGTTTTCCACGTGTCTGAGACCCTGGCACACCTGTGTGTACCGGAAGGGTGCGTCACGCTGTTGCCAGCCTGTGACACTGTTGTGGTTCGTGCTGGAGTGAAGTCACCAGCCCTTTGCTCAGGGCTGAGGCTCATCCTCCCCCCGCCCCCCTTTGCATTGTTGTACATAAACATGATAATGCACACTTTTTCCAAGAAAGGTTTTTGTGTGTATCTAGACTATTATGTTGAGGATGAATTCCCAGAAACGGCACTCCTGACCCACAGGGTTTTACTGCGTCTTTGCTAGCGAGACAGGGAATGCAGTTGCGGTTACAGTTGTTCCTCTCACACAGGGGCCTGGGCATGGCCAGAGGGTCTGCGCTTTCTTCCTAGCCTCTGGGCGGGGGAGGAGGGTCCCTGGGCCGAGCATCACACAACACGGTTCTACTCAGGACCCCACCCGCCACCCTCCCTCGGGGCCTCAGTTTCCTCAGCAGGCAAATCAGTCACCCGATCCAGTCACTTCCTGTCCCAGAAGTCCATGTCTGTCCGAGCCTCGAGTTTGCCTGTGTGACATAGAAATCACAGTAATTCCTGCCGGACTCCGTGAATGTCGTGGGCAGGCAAGTGGCGAGTACGCTGTAACGCGAGCTGCCACCCCCTTCATTCCCTCCATCTGATTCTCAGTACTCAGTACTCACCGTGTGTTTAAATGAGGACCATAGTCCCTCGTGCACGATAAAGTGCTGCATAAATGTGAACTAAAAACACAACATGGCATGCTGGGGGCTTTGCCTGCACCACCACCTTTTACCCCGGTGCCTCGACAAGCCCATTGTGCAGATGGGTGAGGCGAGGTGTGGAGAGGAGCCTGCCAAGAGCTGGCCAGTGGTGGGGCCTAAGTCCACGTTCGGGACCCCTGCTACCCTGAGCCAGGACCCCACGGAGGGCAGTGGGGAGCCCCCAAGGCTGGGCCGCTGCCTGTTTTCAAAGTAGCTCTGGCTTCTGGGTGGAGGCAGGCGTCGCAGGAAGCCAGCTTTGCTTCGCAGAGGCAGAGTTGGGGGTGGCGAGCAGGGAGCCTCGGTCGCCCCTCCTGCGTCCAGCCCTGGGCCCCAGCTCGGCTGTGCAGCCTCCGGGGGCCCTGCACCCACGGACTCCCACCTTTTCAGGCCAAGATTGCTTCCCTGGTCCAGAAGTGCCGGCAGAGGAATGGGCTGATCACTCACCTGCTGCGGGAGCTGCACAGACACGCGCCGGCGAATCTCCCGCTCTCCCAGCTGGCGCAGAGCATGGTGAACGATGCGGCGCTGGCCCAGTACGCAGCCACCTTCCTGGCTTCGGGAGTCCCAGAGGTAGAGTCCCACAGGCGGCCCCGTCCCTGCTTCCCGTGTGGGCCGTGGGCATATCCGCTGCATCCGCCCGCCTGACCTAGCTGCCCCTCCCTCCTCTGCCTGAGGACACTGCCCGCCACACTCCCTGGCTGCTCTGTGCCAGCGCCGGTGCTGTGGGCTGGCGTGGAAGGTGATTCTGGCAATCCTTACCCTTAAAGTGCTCGCAACGTGGCGGACGGATGCAAAGGTGATTGCAATCCAGTGCCACGCGCGCATCCTCAGGTGCGTGTCGCTAAGCAGTTCCTTCCCACGCGCTCCTGGGCCTGTGCGCTTGCCGCTTCCTCTGGCGGGCTGCTTGGCCCACCTGGTGGCCTCCCATCCATCCTTCGTGGCACAGTCCAAGCGTGACCCTGCCCAGGCAGCCTGCCCCGAATCCCACAGACCGCAGTTAGCCACACCCTCCTCTGTGCTCCACTGCACGTGGACACGAGTGACGCGGCGCATACGAGGGACTTTCCCGTGCCGTTGGGGGAGTTCGTTGGCATCTCTCCCAGTGGTCCAGAGCCACCCCGCAGCCATGTCTGCCTCCCCAGTGCCTGGCTCCGAGAGAAGCTGCTTGGAGAATGTTTGTTGAATGAATGAAGATCCTCTCCCCTAATGTTTAACATAAGAGGAAACTGAGGCCAGAGCGCTGAGGACGTGTGCCCAAGGTCACAGGGCAGTGCCGGGCGATGAGCGCCAGTTGCGAAGCTGCTCCTGAACAGCAGTGCTCAGGCACCTGTGGGCGCTCGGCTGCAGCTGCCCGCGCAGGGACACAGGCCCGTTCCTGGGGATAAGCCAGCAACGCCCCGCCAGGCTCGCTCCTTGTGGTGCAGGGCGAGCTGCGCTGCGCGCAATCCCAGGCGGAGCTGTTTTCCACGCCCCCGTGGGGCGCGCTGTCAGCCACTGCGCACCAGGGCCAGTCTCCCCTCAGCCTGCCCCAGCCTGCTCTCTGCAGGGCCAACCTCCTCTGTCCCTGCCTTTCCCCCACAGCCTCCAGAGAGCCTCAGATGTCCTTTGGTCCAAATTGCTGCACAGCCAAGGAGACAGGGGCCTGGAGGCCACATGACCTGCTCAGGGCCACGTCTCGGCTAGGTCCAGAGCCAGAACTTGAACCCAGAGCCCCACACTCCCAAGCCAGTGCCCTTCTCTTGGCCTGAGGGGGTCAAGCCTCCTTCAGAGCTGGAGTAGGGACAAGAAAAGAGGGTACAGTCTTATTGAAATGCCTGGCACAGTCCCTGGGATGCACTCAGGGCCCAATAACTGTGTGTTAAGTGAGGCAGGACTGAAAGCAAAGTTCCAGGGAAGTGTCTGATGCAGCCAGTGTCACCCTGGAGGGCCAACCAGCTGTGTGCTCAGGGAGCATCCTGGCAGTGAGGGGCTCACTTTCCAAAAGCTGCTCCATGGTCTTGAAGCCTCCAAAACTAGAACTGAAATGTTGCTGGGGTTGGGCAGGCTGCCTTACAATAATCAAACCTCACAGAGACTGATGTATAAACCAGAAAATTAATTTATTAATTTCCTATGAGAAATAAAATTCCTGTGCAGGCTGAAGTATCAGATGGAGGGATGAAAAATTGTCAGTGTATTCTCTCCCCGTAGTCAAGTTATTTGGAAAGTCAAATTCATCCATTCATTTCTTCATTTGTTAGTCAATAAACATTTATAATCAGAAGGTCACTTGGGAGGCTAGAATGAGAACAGGGAGAGTTAACCGTGTCACTGCACCGACGCACTTATCTCCTGTAAGAACGTGCCTCTGGTGTGGACATGCCTCCCCTCAGACCAGGGCGTCCCTGCCAGACCTTTGAAAGGCCGCAGCCGATTCCGAACCCCCAGGCTGACCTGCCTGCTGACTACAGTCTCCATTCAGAATGTGGCTGCTTCAGGCTTCAGTCTTGACTGGGCTTGGCATCCACTCCCTCCTTTTCAGATGACGTTGAATTTGCCTGACCCATTTTGCATTATTTGTAACTCATTTCAGAGAACATCTCAGCTCTTAGAGAACACCCCCATTTTCGTGATCTGGGTGGCAGTGCCTGGTTCCCTGCACAAACCACAAAAACTTGGCTCTGCTATTTCATGCCACAAATACTTATTGGGCACCCACTGCCATGGGGCAGGCGTGGCATGGGGCACTGTGGGGAGTGGCGAGCCGCACAGGCCAGAACCTGCAGCAGCCCAGGAAAGGAAATCACTGCACGTTGGAGTAAGTGTCATGTGGGAAACAGGGGCTCAGACAAGACCCTGAATTTCTCTGAGCCTCAGTTTCTCAGTTTTCTCATCTGTAAAATGGGAATAGGACAACCTACTTGACAGAATTGTTGTGAAGCCTGAACGAGACACCTTGTGAAGCACCTCAGACCGGGTAAGAACCTGGCCCTGCATGGGCAGTTGGCAGGAAAGAAGGTCTTTCAGGGGTGGGGAACCTGCGGCCTTCTGATTTCAAGATTGTTCCTTTTTAAGCACCAAAGGAGGCAAGAAAAGCTTCATCTTTCTCTGCTGCACCTCTTTTATTAATAATAAAAGAATTTGTTCCGTAAAATTTGGATTCAGTCAAAAGGCCACACTTAAGGACCTAGAAGACCACATGTGGCCTTAAGGCCGCTGGTTCCCCACCCCGGGTGACCTTAGGAGAGAACACTTACAGGTACTACAGACCACGTGCAGGCTCTGCGTTAAGTAAATTAACTCAGGTGGTCCTCTCTTCCACAAGGGAGGACCTTTTATTATCCCCCTTTCAGACAAGAAGTGAAGCTCAGAGAGGTTGCGAGTCTTGCTGAAGACACGTCCGTAAGCGGCTCTCTAACTCAGCAGCTGGGTAACTTGCCTAAGCAGGGGAGCCAGGATTTGAACCCAGGGAGTCCGTGTACAGACACTGGGGGGCAGTAACAGCTTCTGCGCAGGGCTGCTGGGAAGACAGGCAGCAGCCTGGGTCTGTCACACGCCAAGCCCTGGATGCATCAGTCCCTCCTGTCACTGGAAGGCCGATCTTTGGTGTGCACACTCTGTCCAGGTATGGGCCAGTGAAAGAGGTTCGTAATGTGTTTAAGAAACCAAGAGAGCTCCAGGCTGGCTGCGGTGTGGGGCCCGAGGGCAGGCACAGTGGGAGGCCAGGCCGGATGGGAGATCATGGGCACCTGTCCACCCACAGGGGGTTTGCACTCTTCTTTAGTTACTGAGGAGCAGGATCGGAGCCTCAGGATGATGGATCCAGCAGGGCGTGGGCTCCTGAGCTGCCGCCGAGGAGAGCCCGTGCGCTGCGCAATGAAGCCCTGGCCAGGCAGCCCAGCAGAGCCCTGTGGGAGCACCGATTCTCCCCTGGTGGTGGTGGCAGCTCCTCCTGCTGGCAGCTGGGCAGGAAGCGAGTCCAGAGCTCCTTGTTTCTTGGGAATGGCTCTCGTTTCAGAGAACACAGATGGAACCCTGCTGGTGGCCTGCGGGCTGTGGCTCGGAGTCTGGCAGGGCTGCCCGGCCGGCTGGGGAGACACTGTAGGGCTTGGGCTGGGTGTGCCAGATCAGGGAGGGGTGGGTTCTGGGACCACTGAAGCCAGGTGGTGGAGGGCTGGGGTACCTTCTGGAAACATCCTTGAAGGGTCTGCTCCCCAGGTGCCTGCAATGTCCTGAATTGCTCCCATTCTCTGGCCCCTGCCCTTGGGATGGGGCTCACACTAACCACAGACATCCGGGGGTGGGTGGCTGTAGGCTGGGCCGGGGTCCTGACCAGACAGGCTGCTTCATTCATCCACTGCAAGCTACGACGGCCAAGACTCGCACTGCCCTTCCCCTCGAGGCTCTTTCCAAGGATTCGTTCACTTCATCCTCCCAGAACCCCCTGCGGGGAGGAGGCTGAGCCTTGGAGCAGTCCCGGGGCTGGCTGAGGGGTGCGGGCTGGGCCGGGGAGCCAGTCCTTCTCAGCTCCACTCTTCCGGGAGGAGGTGGTGCGTGCGGCCCGGTGCTCACACCTGTGGCCAGGTGGTCGGCTCAGTGACCACCTCTCATCACTGCACTCCATTGAGTCTTTATCTTTCAATTTTCTTTTTTCGCCCTGGTTCGGGTGGGTGGTGGAGATTGAGCTTCAGTCAGTTGGGCCCTGACATGTGGCCTCAGGTCGCCATCTGTGCTGGCATCTGCTGGAGCGCCGTGCAGGTCACCAGCGTCCACAGGTCACCCTTGTGTCCACCTGGCTTCCTTCCTGAGTGCTCCTGTTTCTTTCCGGCTCAGGTCTCTGTTCCAGGGGTGAGGCAGGAGATTCCACGAGGTCAGCCTGGTCACCTCCCCACCCCGCCTTCAGCTGCGGACGCAGGGGTCCTGCCGCCTCCCTGGCGTTAGCTGGCGATGGACACAAGGGGAGACAGGCTCCCTCCGCTCTTGGATTCCTGGAACCTCTCTGGGGGTTCTTAATTCCCCTTGTCCCCCAAACCTGCCTTGAGTTGAGGGCTCAGGGAACTCTCCCAGGCTCCCTTTGACTTCCTCTCCAGTCCTCCCCTCCAGCCCAGAGGACCTGTCTTCTCTGGCGTTTGCCTGGACCTGGGCTGCTGACGTCCCTAAGTCAGGAACGAGGGGCCTTTCCTGTGTGCTTTCGGTTACGTCAGCCTCTGCCCCTGAGACCTTGGAGGCAGGTGCTCAGGTGCCAAAGGAGGAGGGAAGGGATGCCGGGGCTCACCTGAGATGAGGCACTGGGCAATGTGGCAGCTCACTCTCCTGCCCACGCCCGAGGTCTGGCCCAGGGTCTGCTCCACGAATGAGAGGTCAGAGAACTTGGCACGTTATCCCCTCCTGAGCCTTCTGACCTCCCGGAATGTGAGGGTTACTGTCTTCTCTCCATGAATGGAGAGTCACTTGCAGACAAAGACACCCTGATGTAAATAATTACCTGCCTTGTGAACGTGGTGCTTGCCCTTCCCTGCTCTAGGCCACCTGTCCCCGTGGGGCTCTGTGAGGTTTGAATAGAGCCCATGTCAAATGCATGGCATAGCACCGGTCACACACAGGAACCCACAAGGTTCGGGGCACCTTCAAGCAAAACCCCAGTTCCACCCCTGGGTGGAGTCAGGGCCTTGGCCACACCAGCTGTGGAGAGTCGTCTGGACCCCCAGAGCTGCGGTGACCCAGTAAGGAAGCTGCTAATTTTACCTCCTCTTGCTCTGCCATTTCCTCCCCCCTCTTTCCTCTGGGCATTAGTCAGCGAGCTCTATAAATGGGCTTCAGAAATGGAATCTGGTCTAAACAAGGAGCAGCGAGCCTCAGGTGATTGAAGAACTGCCCCTCAAAGCCCTGAGCTCCCCTAATTCATTAAATCAGCAACCCCAAGCCTGTGCCACCAAAGATCCAGGCAATTTTCTCTTTAGCGCTTGCCTTTTATGAAGCTTAGACTATTTCCCCAAACGTTTACATGGGAGAGAGGCAGGGCTCCGGGGACCGCAGGGCCAGCCTTTGCCTGTCCCCGCTCTGCGTGTGGGAGACATCCCTTCTTATTTCATTCTGCAACCCTGAAAGGAACATGCTAGAACTGCACGTTCCTTCTGCAGATGGACAGGGCGAGGCTCTGAGAGCTCACCTGACTTCAGCAGGTGGCAGAGCCGGGATTCAACCCGAGAATTCCTGGCTCCGGAGCCGCTCCAGGCCGACAGAGGTGGGGCTGGAGGCAGACGAGGACCCACGCACCCTCACACACGCTGAGCGCGGTGCCACCCATAAGTCAGTTCTGTGTGTCCGCGGCTACTCTGTGGACATGAAGGCGAATGAAACCTCGTGCTCACGTCGAAGGAGTCTCCACCCGCCGAGGAAGCCCAGGGGCATGCACGCGCCATGAGCAGGGGGAAGAGAGGTTGGGAAATACGCTTCCTGGAGCGGGAACTCAACGCAGGCCTTGAAGGCCAACGCGGGTTTACCAGCTGGAAGGATAATCTGTGAGGCCTGCACGTGCAAAGGCACGGGGTGTGCAAGTTCACGGTGCTCAAAGACACAGTGCTGGTGGCGGGTAAAGCGGAGTGCTGTGTGCACAGCGTGGGAGGAGGAGTGTGCCTGGTCCGGAAGGCTCCCCAAAGCGTGCTGTGACCGGCTTATTACCAGAAGACCGTTGATCTGTCAACCATGCTCCTGGGTACAGTCAATCCTCGCTAGAGGGGACCGTCACCAAGCCGGTTGTCACAGAGCAGCACAGTAGGGGCTGTGTGAGAGGCAGGTGGCTGAACTCTGCCCGGGAGCATCAGGGAAGACTTCACAGAGGAGGGGGCATTTGAGCTGGGTCCTGACATCCTCCTAGAAGTTGACCAGAGAAGGAAAGAGAGGCAGGGTGGCCTATGCACATGCCTGGAGGACGCGCCTGGCCAGGGTGTCGGCACTGGGGGGGAGGGAGACGTCGCAGCGGCACCGCACATGGCTCCTGCCCCTCCGGAAACACCGCGAGGAGGGAGGTCCGGGCTGCTGGTCTGGAGGCAACTGTACTGGCCCTGAGGACCCAGCAGCCAGTCGAGTGGCCACTGCCGCCTCACCCCTCTCAGCCCCGTGCTCCGGTGGGTGAGGAGGATGCGAATTTGGGTGGAGAAGCAGATGGCAGACGCGGGGTCCAGCCTGCCCTGAATTCCTGGGTGACTGGATCGAGGGCTGCAGGGGAGACATCAGACCACCAGGTGCCCTCATTTTTTAAAAAAATTTCCTTTCATAGAGGTTTCTAAGACACATTTATTACTGTCTCTGTTTGGAGATTTAATGTGAGGAAAGGAAATGGGGCCATTTTCCTGGGCCTATGCTCCCCACGAGCAAACGCACTCCTGGTCCCCTTCGAGGGTAGCGGACAGGAACGGGGCAGGCCCCTCCACAGCCTCACGCACGTGGGCAGAGCCGGCCTGAGCCTAGGGGCCGTTCTCGCAGGCAGGGGTGGGTGGCCCTGCCGGCCCCAGTTCAGTCTTCTGCACGAGGCTTTCTCTCCGTGCCACGCAGAATAACTGCTGGGATGTCTTCTCTTCCAGACAAGCCACCACCCGGACGCCGAGTCTGAGACGACAGCGGTGCTGAGAGGTCAGTGTGACTCTCAGCTGGGAACCGTCCGTGTGCTGAGAAAGTCCAGGCCGGCACTGTCACGTTCTCGCTAGTAAAGGGAGGGGGGCCCATTTCCCCTCCCCCTTCCTTCTCCGGCCCTGCCTGCTCATTCCACAGCCTAGGGAGAACACCTTGGAAAAATACGAAAATGTTCCAATTCCTCAGCCCTGAGGTCTCCCCCCAGGAAGCTCATCCTAAGTAAATAATCCTGTGTGTGGAAAAGCCCTGGACAGGTGTACTCATGCCAGTGCATTTAGAAAAAACCTCAGTGCATACTGTAATTAACTCATACAATCAAAGAAATGTAATATAGTCACTAAAATATTGCTAGTTAGCACCATCCAACAGCGTGGAAATTATGATATTCTACTAAGTTGATAAATGGCAGGAGGTGGAATGTTTCCTATGGTTACAGTTACGGAACTAGACATGCACATCTGTGCATGGTCAGCAGCCCAGCCTAGGAGATAAACTATTAATAAAAACAGTAGCTGCGGTTACTCGGAAAGGGGGGAACATGAGTGATTTTTCTGGTGTTCTGTTATTTTTATTATTAAGAAAATTAAGTTGCTACCTGACCAGATGGAGTTTTCCTGGGCCTCGTGAGTTACATTGTCAGCGTAAAGTGGGGCCTGGCTTCTAAGGGTTTGTTCAGCGCTGCGCTCACGGCGGGTGCACACAGAAACGTGGGGAGGCGTGGATGGCGTTACCTTTAGGACTGAGCTGCTCTTGAGATCTGTTCATCTGGCGGTTCTTCTTACTAGATTCCATTCTTGCCAGCTGTGTGATCTCAGATGGGTTAATTAACTTCTCTGAGCCACAGACTCTTAATTTTAAAAGGAGGATAATATGATTTTCCTGGGGAGTGTCCAGTCCCTGGCCCACAGCAGGGTGTTGACACAAGAAGAGAGGCCTGCTCTCAGTCTTCGGCTGGCCAGGGTGGGCCTGCCCTGCTATGCCTGCAGCCTGACCCGACACCTGTTTTCACAGCTGGGGAGGCGGAAATTCTAGCTGGGCTGCTTCTGCGCTCATTTTCTCTGTACCCTCAGGCAGGCCTCCTCCCTTCTGTGGGCTCAGCGTCCTCCCCTTTCAGAGAAGGAAATGTGCCAGATTGATTGAGTTACATTTATTCCTTCCACATTTCTGGAGGGCTGCCACGCCCCAGATCCCAGCGGGCATTGCGGGGCTTACAGTACATGACGCCTCTGTCATGGGGCGTGGGGACCTAGGAATGGCCAGGGGAACAGCCCGAGAATGAGGAAGGTTATCACAAGGCTCAGAGACTTCTTGGCTTTTAGAATAGATTCCTGGGTTGAGGTGTGACTGAGAATTTTCTCTTCTAGCTCAGAAATGTCTCTTGAATCCTGGAGTGGACGGCGACCTCCACAGCGCACCATGTCTGGAGTCCTGGCCTATTTCCGAGGCCGAGTGGCCAGCACAGACAGCCCAACTGGATTCTCTGGAGGTGAGGGGACACCAGTCACCTGATTCCTAAACAAACTTTTTTATTGAAAGCACAACGCACAGACAAGGGAACAAGTCCTGAGCGTGCAAGTTAACGAATCATCCGCGTGATGCCCACCCGCAAATCCACCACCAGGTCCAGAGACGGGATGTAAGCAGCCCCGTAGCACCTGGTGTCACCTCTCAGTCTCTTTCTGTTATCTACTTTTAATTTTTGTTTGTGGCCAAAGCGCGTGTCCTAGGTCTGTTGTAGTGAGTGCTGCACGTCATGTGTGGAAACTGGAGACAGCCTGAGGTCCTGCCCGGCAGCGTCCCCACCCAGCGGACTCCCCTTGGCTCTGAGCAGGGCAGTCCTCACAGCGGCGTGGCTCAGAGACGAGTCCCAGGGCCGAGGGGTCGCTGCTGTCTCGCTCGCTCCCACCGCCGAGCACGGAAGCCTGTGGTGTTTCCGCCCCTCCGTCCCACGGCGCTCCACTCTCTCCGCTGCGGCTGCGTCTTTCGCGGACCCGAGGGGAAGCGCGGGCCACATGCCCTGCTTGGCTTCTCTCTTGCTTTCAGTTTTGGTCCCACGAGTCCTCACAGCCATGGTAGCTGTCACATGGTTTCAAGCAAATGTTTTACTACATCTTCCCAGCTTTTCTAGTTGTACTTGCCACAGGTTGGTCCGAAATACCCTGATCGGCCGCTGCCAGAGCAGCACCACTGTCCTCCCAAGAGACTTATTTCACTCATGCGCTTTGGAGTCTCACAGACGGATGACAGAATGTCAGTTCTACCATTTTTCTCTGCATGCTTTATGCCTGCGGTCCCCAGCCCCCAGGCTGCAACCGGTCCCGGGCCATGGCCTGTTAGGAGCTGGGTGGCACAGTGGCAGGTGAGCAGCAAGTGAGCGAGCCTTCATCTGTGTGTCCAGCCACTCCCCATCGCTCGCACCACCCCCTGAGCTCTGCCTGCTGTCGGTCAGAGCAGCATTAGATTCTCACAGGTGCGCAAACCCTACTGTAAACTGTGCATGCGAGGGACCTGGGCTGCACCTCCTTCTGAGAATCTGATGCCTGATGATCTGAGGTGGAGCTGAGGCGGTGATGCTAGTGCTGGGAAGCAGCTGCAAACACAGATTATCAATAGCAGAGAGGTTTGCACAATAAATGTGATGTGCTTGAATCGTCCTGAAACCATCCCCCTACCCCTGCCCTGGTCTGTGGAAAAATTGTCTTCCATGAAACTGGTCCCTGGTGCCAAAAAGGTTGGGGACCACTGCTGTACATAGCACCTGGCCCATAGGGGACCTTCTCTTAGGGTGTGAAGTCCACATGCAGGTGAGAAAGATTTCTCAGACAAAGTTGAGGGTAGATAGAAATGCAAAGTTTATTGACTCTCTGTCCGAGGAGAGAGAGGGCGCAGTGCCAGCGCGAAGAGAGGTGTGGCCCTGATGCCAACTGACTGTGACTATTCACCAGGGCAGGCTGGGGGCCTATACGACTGCAGCCCCATTAGTAAAAGGCAGCGAGAAACTGCCGTGTTGGCCTTTTCTGTTCCTCATGTGGCAGATTGATAACAGAAATTAGTTTCTTCTTTCCTCTTGATAATGGGAGACATCGGTGCTGTCCCTTCTTGAGGAAGCGAGGAAAGTTCACACTCCTGCTGTCTGCTCGAGAATTTTCAAGGCTGTTTACACAATACCCCAAAAAAACCTTTTACAGATGGTAAATGTTAATATCGCATTCCCTTCTTTTATTTGCTCGGCTTCTTTTAATTGCTAGGTAAACATCTCTGTAGGAGAGACGTTCTTGTTACTAACCTTGGGAACAGAGTTTGTCCCACTCCAAGTGCCTGATGGTTAAGAATTTATTTTTCTTGTTAGCTCCTTAGTCAGACCGTCCTTTCAGTTTCCAGAACACCTGTTGGGTGAATAGTTAGAGGGAGGAGGGTGCTCGAGCTCATTGAGATCTGGAAGGTCACGCGGCATCTCGTCCCGGTCCCCGGTGCTGCTGCGTTTTCACCCACGGTCTTCGCTCTGTTCGGTTGTCGTGGGCATCTGGGCGCAGAGCTCCCTGCCCTGGACGCACGCAGGTTGCAAGCCATGTATCTGGGCTGGGTTGGGGAAGAGCCTCCTGTGGTGAGAGCGAACTCATTAAATAACCACACTACGGGATTAGCGACCTGCAAGCAGAACGAGGTCATGGAGGTTTGAAGGGCAGTAGCTAAATTTGTCACGTCACAGTTACATTACTGTATGGATGAGCTTACAGGAAAAGGGGGAGGGGAGCCTAAGAATACACCAAAGTGTCCTGCCAAGCTGGGACCCCTTTAGCGAGTGAAGAATGTTTAGCCCTAGTAGCAGACGCCTGATCCGATCACTCCCCATGTAAGCCCAGCGGCACATCCCGCCTTCGGTAGCTGACTCAGCAGAGAAGCAGGCAGGCTCGGGAGCCACGTGGCCTGGCTTCAAATGTTGGCTCAGCCTCCTGTTTGCTCTGTGCCTTGGGCAAGTCACTTGACCTCTCTGGGCTTCTGTTTCTTCATGTGTATAATGGGATAATAAGAATAAGAATAATACTTACCTTCCTGATATTTTGCAAAGATTAAATGAATCAATACGTGCACAGTGCTCAGAACAATGTGTGCACATCATGAGAGCTCAGTAAGTGTGCACTGTCAGGTCAGCCGTGTGAAATCGCCAATTTATACTGCCCTTTCCTTGAAAAACAGTAGTTTCATATGGTTTAAACTATAATTATTATTACCAGATAAAGCCCAGACTTCTGAAGTTGGTGTTTGCATTCTGTAATCTGCCCGGAATGACCTTCAGAGTCTAACGTACAGCAGATCCCTGCTCCGCCCGCAAGTCGGGCTCGGACCCCTCCCTTCCTGGCCGTCCTGGCTCAGTGTGCGGCCCGCACTTCCCTCCCGCCCCTCAGTGCCTGTGCGGGCCTCTCCTCCCGCTCGGGTCTGCAGTACTGTGTTTACGTGCCCGCTGCTCCCACTGCACCGCCAGCGCCCTGAGGGCAGGGACCAGGTCAGGCTCGGCACACGGGGAGGTGCCAGTGTCACTGCGTCCCCTCCTCTGCTGTCCCGGTGTCACTGCTTCCCCTCCTCTGCTGTCCCGCCTCCTTCTCAGCCGGCTGTGGGCTGTGTGCGTGGAGCTGCTGGGGGTGGTGCAGAGGTTTGCTCCATTTCACTGAGTGCGGAGCAAAGTGCCGTTTTCAAGAAGGGTGCTTAGCGGGTGTGAGCTGGGTATGAAGGGACGACAGTGTGTGACAGTGGCTGATGAAGTAGACGGAGAGAGTGGACTGGAAATTGGATGGGCTTGAGTGTGAACGTGGAGCCAGCCACTTCAGAGCTACGTAAAGGTAGTTATAGTATGTAGAGTCTGAAATTTACCTGTTCCCGTATCTGTAAAGTGGGCCGGATGATAGCTCCTGGGACAATTGAGTGACTACAAGTGAAACAGCACATTTGGGAGAGCCCTGGGAAGTGCTGGGCGTGAGGCTGGCAACCAGTAGACACTGGTTCTCCTTTAAGGGGAAGGTCATTTTCCCTTGTCACTGGGTATGGGAGAATGTGTAGAGGATATCCGCTCTACAGGGACCCCACCAGTGATGGCAGTCTTAGGTGCCTGCCGGATGGCGTGGCGAGAGAGCCTTACCCCGCCCCAGCCTCGGTTTCCTCATCCATAATGCAGCGACGACAGTGTGCGCCTCACTGAACTGTAGCAGGGAAGCAAGCCAACGTCCCAGTAGCACTTGGTGCCAGGCACAGAAAGAGCTGAGTAAATGCTGAGTGTCGTTGTCATCTCTTCCTTCGGTAACATGTGCGATCAGAGAGCTTTTATAAACATGTACAAGCAGAAATGATTTCGTTGTCCTCTTGCCTGCAGCTTCCCCTGCCACCGGAGCCCACGCAGGATCCTGGACTGTGGCTGGCGGCGGTCACTGTGGAACCAGGACCCCCTGCACAACAGCTGCAAGAAAAAGGCGGAATGCCCTGCCCTGGCCTCCGAGCCGACAGCCCTGCGGCACCCGCTGAGCTACTGAGCCCGGGGAGGATCCTGGCTTTTCACCAAGAGCTTAGACAAAGCATTCGCGGCAATCCCCAGGTCAATAAATCACCGCTGGAGTTATAAATGTAACAGGACCACTCATTCTCCGGGGCCATTTCATAGACTCCATAAATATTTGAAGCAGAACCTTTGGAGAGTGCTTTAAGAAATTGGTAGCAATCAAAACCCTCATTTAGTGGCAAGTGGTTTTGCCTTTGGCTTAGCGATTTGTGTTCGACGTTGGAGCTTGGGAGAAACGCTGGGCTTGCAAATTCTGAGCAGTTTGGCTTTGGCAAGCGTCGAGGTAGCAAAGAAATATTTAATGCACCAAAACCTTTTAAACGAGTAGACTGGGCACGGTTTTAGCCCCCACGGCAAAATTTGGCTATGTCTGGAGACATTTTTGGCTGTCACAACTGAGATGCTGCTCCCGGCGCCCAGTGGGCAGAGGCCAGGGATGCTGCGAAACACCCACATGGCACAGGCGGCCTCCTATGATGAGGAATTATTCAGCCCAGATGTCAACAGTGCCCAGGCTGAGCGCCCAGGACTGATCTAGGAGCTCCTAACATGGTCAGCCGTGGAGAGTTTTTGTTATTTTCCTTCCCCTGGGGCCCCTACCATAGTTTAAAAGATTTTAATCTACTAAAAGAAATGCCTAATTTGAGGAATTATATATTTTACATTTGGAAACATTAAAACCAACCAGAACTTTCTAATCAGTCCATTCACTCCCAATCCACCATGCCAGGCAGTGTGGTGTCTGGCAGAAAGAGATGAGTCAGTGCTGGTCCCTGCCCCAGGGACCTCGGGCGTCAGGAGAGACACACATGTAAGTAAATTGTCTTGCAGTCAGTTGTTACGTGTGCCATGAGAGATGTGGTGTAGGGTGGCGTCAGTTCTCCGCGGCATAGGGAAATTAGAAGCCAGCCACAGAAGAATGGGGGAGCACAGTCCCATGGGGGAGGGTGCTGCAGACGCAGGCAGCAGCCCGTGCAGAGGCTCTGGGCCATGAAACCGAGCTGTGGCTGGGCTGCTGCAGGAGGGGTGGGCACAGTGGCCCCTTGCTGAGTCAGCTGCAGGCCGCCACTGCCTTGCTCCCACCCAGCACCCCGTGTGTCCCCGAGAACAGAAGTCGGTGCCCTGACTCAGGTGTGCGACCTGGGAGCCGGAGAATGCTTCCATCCTGAGGGCAGCCCACCCAAAAAGAGAGTCCAGGGGGATTGGACCATACCTGCCAGACCTGCCCCGGCGCAGTGACCAGAGACCCGCTCTCTCTTTGGGGAAGGGGCCGGTGAGGGGCTTGAGGGAAAGGTCAGCACCGCCTGCCCCACTGTGTCCTCCCTGTCCAGAGGTGGTTGTCCCTTCATGGAAGGACAGGGGAGGACAAGGACAGGGAACCCAGGGCTCCCGGGAAGTAGACAAAGTCTGCAGATTTTATGTTAATGTATCTTAATTTTTTGTTTGAAATGAAAATTGCAGAGAGTTCCCGTGTACTCTTCACTTGGCTGCCCCTGATGCTAACGTCTCGTGTGACTTACCATAGTAAGAAACTGGTGCGTTTTATTTTGAGGAAAATTGGGCAGCCACTGGAGTGTCAGAAAGGCAGCGTCAACACGCCGAGTTGCCACCGTGTGAATTAGCTTGTGGGGCTTTATGATGGGTGAGCACGTTCCCCCCGCACTCTCGGACCGGTTCACCAGTGGGCCCCTGCTCGTCCATTCCACATGCACGGAGCGGCGGCTGCTGCCCGAGTGTCTGGTCAGGTGCTGGGGAAAGCGAAGCATGGACGATGCTGTCTGTCTCGGTCTGGTCTTCGACAATCTCCCTGTCACCACCCGCCGTGGCGTCCCTGTTGGAAACCACTGCTGCGATCGCTTTTGCTGTTTCAGCCTCCATAGTGCCCACATCATCTCCAACTGGGAGGTGATGCCCTCTTCTGCCTCGCCCCTCTCCCCTTATTTTGGGACAACGTCGTAAGCTTCAGCACCAGAGACGCGAGGGAGAGCAGAGACCCGGTGCGGTCAGGACACCAGCGGAGCCTTCGCACGGCCCCCAGGACGCAGCACGGCGCAGGTTCTGGTCTCCAGGACGCCCCCAGAGGCCCGGATGTTTGTGCCCCTCCTGCCACAATCACATTCTGGGCCTGGGTAGAGACGGGAAATCCATTAAAGGAAGCCAAACCAATCTTTGCAGCTTAACTTGATGATTCCATAATAAATCATGTTCCCGAGCCAGAAGCCACTCACTACCCCGGGCCACGGAGTCCCGCCTGGGCTGGCACTTTGGGTTGGCTCAGGCTTTGTGCTGTGACTCCGGGGGCACTTTTGCGATGGTGGATGGTAGACTCCTGCACACGGTGGCCCTCTGCCACCCTCTCAGTGGACCGGATGTGGCGTGGCTGGGCCGGGGCAGGACTTGCTTGGACGACCCAGAGGGCTCTGGCAGGAACTTGGCACGCAGGAGCTGGTCCCTGCTGCCCCCATGCAGGGAACAACACTGTGAGTGAGCCGGAGGCCTCTGGAGACCGGCCAGATAGGCCAGCCTGGCGCCGTGGCAGAAAACAATTTGTCAAATGGACTGTCTGCAAGCAACAACGGTGCCCTTCCCTGCAGCCGGCGCCCTGAACCTATCGAGGTAAATGCACCCCTCCCCCACTGCACAAAAGGGCCCCACCTAGGCTTTTAGGCAAATCAGATGAGAGGGCTGGCTTGGCCCCTGGCCAAGCAGTAGAAGTGTTAAGTGCAGTCCTTCTCCCTGTCGCTGATTCATTTTCCTGCTCCTGGGAGGCATTTTGCTGGAGCAGCAGAGGTGTTCTGCCTAGCACATGCTGCCCTGAGCACCTGCTGGGACAGGTGAGGGGCTGGGGGCTGGTCACAGGGGTCTCACTCCAGGTCCTTGTCCTCCAGACTCCACTATAACCAAGTTGCACGAGCAGGGAGAGAACAGGGCCCAGGGTCCTCAGAGTGGGCAGCTGGCCAACAAATAGGGAGGGCTTCCTGGAGGAAGTGAGACTGAGCCGAGCTGGGAGATGAGCAGGGATCAGCCAGGGAGGGGAGACCTAGGGGGAAGGGGCAGGTGTGAGTGAAAGCCCCCAGCCAGGGGTAGGGTTGGGGTAGGAGTGGGGGTGGAGATGCCGCCTTTCTGTGACCCTGGGGTGGAAGGAACCAGAAGGGAGGTGTTGCCTTTTTTACAATCCTACTGTGACTTTCTTGTTCCATTTAAAAAATGTTTTTGATATATGTGATACCTTTGTATTCTTCAAAATTCAAAAGCCACAGAAGTCCACACAAAGTCCCTTCCCACCCTTGTTCCCAGGTCCCTTCCCCAGAGACAGACACGCCCCTGTGCGCCCAGGGCGGGCGGAGCGCGACGCACTCTGCTCTGTGCTCTGCTCTTGCCTTCAGCACATCTCGGTGACCGTTCTGTTGCAGGACGTAAAGTTCTCACTCATTTTTCTAAACAGTTTCACTGTTCTCCATGGTGTGGCTTTAACCAGTCTCCTCTCAGTGTGTATGGGAGTTGTTTCTGATCTTTTGCTGTTAAAACCAGCAGTGTCGTGAAAATTCTTGTACGTATGTCACTTCACATGCTTGAATGCAGTGCGGCACGACCGTGTTTCAGCCAGCGACAGACTGAGCGTGTGAGAGTGGCGGGAGCGTAGCCTGTACCACCCGGCCTGGGTGTGTGGGAGGCTGTGTCGTCTAGGCGTGTGTAAGTGATGCTAGGGTGTGCACACGACGGCAAAGTCACCACCAACGCATTTCTCAGAAATACCCCTGGCGCGAGGTGAAGTGTGACTGTCTATCTGAGGGCAAATCCCTAAAAAGGGACATGCTGGGTCAGAGGAGATGTGCGCGTGGCCTTTCCGTGGCCCTGGCCAGGCCCCACTGCCAGTGCCCCTTCGAGGGTGCAGCCGCTCTTGCTCCCGCTTGCAGAGCTCGGGGAGCCTGCACCCGCAGGCAGCTGCACCCGCGAGGTGCCGATTCAGTGCAGCGTCACGGAGGGCCCTGTGCTCATGGGGTGCTCTGAGCCGGGGGTGGGCGTAGTGAGCAGGCACTTGCTCCCCGACCCCACCCAGGGGCCGTCCCTGCTGCCGTCTGCCAGTGCTCGTGGGCAGGAGTGACTTGAGCTGGGAAGCCGTGATCTGGCCACCAGGGACGACTGACAGGGCGCTGGGTTGACAGGGCGCTGGGTGGCTCCGAGGCTGAGGGGAGCGTAGAAGGAGGCCTTTGGGCTGAGCTGGGAAGGCGAGTCAGCCCTGCCTTCCCAGCCCGGCCCACCACGGCCGGCCGCGGCCTTGAGCCAGGGCTTCCCTCCGGAAAAGTGGAATCACATCACTGTGATGGCACCTCACCACACGGAGGCTTGAAGGTGTCCTGCGGCCAGTGCCCGGCCGTGGCACCCACAGCCCAGGCGTGTGGCCTCTCCCCTCGTCCTCTTCCCTGCAATGCTGGGAGGCAGGTGGCCTGGGAGCTAAGCACGCACCCACTGCCTGGCTTTGGGCTTCGGCCGTCCCCTCACCTCGCCGTTCTGTGCCTCAGTGTCCTGCTCTGAAATGGGGGTGCCACCTCCAGGGTGGCTGCGAGGCGTGAGTGGGTGTCTGTGAGCACCAGGGAGAGGCCGGGACCATGGTCCCAGCTACAGCAGCGCAGCCGCTGCTCCATCTCCGTGACTCAGAGGTGGGTGGTAAGGAGAGGGCGGCAGGGGCTCAGACGGGTGATGCTTGCAGCTGAGACGCACTCGAGGCTCACGACAGATGTTGGAGCGAAGCGATGCTGCCACGGAGGGGCTCTGTGCGTGGCAACTCAGCGAGGATTTTCCAGGAGCTGTGACCAGCCTGCCCAGCTTTCCTCTGGACACAGAAAGTAACAGGCACTCGATCCCTGCAGCTGTCGAGGCGTGGCCAGGACTCTCCCCACCAGGATCTCTGGTCCTTTCCACTGGCCCACTTCTTCTGGAAAAGCCTTTCCCTTAGAGTCCAGGGCTATTTCGTCCGGGCCCTTCTGGAGGTGAGTGGGGCTGGGTGTCCACGTTTGTTTACCTGGAAGAATGCACATTCCTGCTGCTTGGACCAGGACTTT